TACTCATAATTATATTTCAATTCACTTTTAGTTATAAATTCGCTTAATATTGCTTTACATACATATAAAAGAATCTCAACAATATATAGTTGTCCATATAAACTATTTAATTCTACATTAATGTTCAGTTTTTTTTTTATTTCAAAAGACTATCTAGTGTAATGTAAGTTGAATTAGAAAAATAAAAAATACACACAATCAAAGGACGCCATGTTGTTTATAGAATTACAATGTAACCCATATTTATTCTGTATCCATACATAGATGTTTTCCATACATTTTTTCTAATCGCCTTATCAGCTCACGAAATATTTATCTAACGGGTCAGACGTAGACTATTGACTGTTGATAAATTAATTTTCTGTGATTTCATACAAAACATTATAGAAACATTTTCTAAATATAATAATTTTATAACATGATATTTTAATCTGTGCAACAAGCCGAAATAATATCTGACAGCGTTCTAAGAATATGCCTTTGAATTAGAACAAAAAAGATTTAAATTTTAAACAAAACGCTTTAAATATTTCACAATAGTTAATATAATGTATTGAGTTTTTCTTATCTCCTTGTTTCTAAGTAAACAAAATACTTAGTCCCAAAATAGATACATTAACAACAGTCTGTTTACATTCCATCTTATTGTTATTATCTTAAATATCTTTCGGTTTATCCTTTTAAGATAGCTTTCCTTTAAGATATGACGTATACTTTTAAAATGGATTCGACTATTTTATTTATATTTGTGAGTCATTAAATATATTGCTGTTTACACAATATCTAAACGAAAATATTTTAACTCTAATTTATTATTATTAACGAAAATCTATACATTTCAATTGTTAAAGGATTTTGTGAATGTCGCGACATAAACATATGTATAACCTTGACTAGCCGGATTTTGAGTTGACTTTCACTGGATGGTAAAGGAATTTGTAGAAAAAAATAATATTTATATTAATTAATTACTAGAAAATATATTATTATGTAAAAATAATTTGTTATTTGCTTCTATTTATATCAAATACGACAGCTTGTAATATGACAGCTTGAATATAAAGGGCTGGTTCATATTAGTAAAAGAATTGCATTGAGCTACTTGAAATTGGGCTATTCGTATATGGTAGCGGACAATGAGTGAAGTCGTGAGTCAGAGGACCACCCACACTACACCTCTTACGGTTTCCTGTATCGAGATTTATGTTCAGCAATTAGTATCATGTGTTTAAAAACAATGCTTTACAGAAAACACACTATTTGTACACTAACAACGTGAACTGAATCCGTTTAAAAAGTCAACAGTTTTGTTTTTTTCTTTTTTTTTTTGGTTATTTTAGTTGCCAGTCCATTTATAATTGACGGTAAATATTATTTAATCGTAACAATTATTAATATTAAATTTATGGAATTTTGTAAATTTTATGAAACTTTTTTTTTTAAATTGCGATTTTATTGCATGCCATTTATAAACAGGTAAACAAAAATTGTTATTATTAAATTAAATTTAATTACATATTTATATTTTATACCAAAATTTATCAGAGGAAAACGTGCTACATTCAAAAGCCTCAGTTTTACCTAATACTGTATTTATATGAATGCAAGTGCTTGAAACATCACATTGTCTTTACATGAACAATGTTTAAATCTCACAGAAGGCCATTCAAAGTTCACAATTTACAATTATCTTAATATGGTGTATAATAAAGTTATCAGACACGTCTACGGGTGAACGACTGGGTCTACAACCTAACCGCAAATACTCCATCGCCTTGTCCTTGCTTTTTATTTGTTATTAAGAACTCTTTGTTATATATTTATATAGTCTATACAAGTCCCACAGATAATCAAGATTATTGATAGATTAATAAGAATCAAAGCAAAAAGTTTTTATATATAATAATAATTCATATACCAGGAAGCAGTGTTTATTTTCTCTTAAAGATTAATTTGCTAAATCAAAGTGTTGTTCGTAAAGTAGGTATGAGATGTAACGGAAAGTCATCTCTGAGCGTGATTCACATTATAGTAAGAGGCTACAGAGTACAGACCAGAGTCACGCTTGTTTGTTTTGCTTTATTACTCACTTTCTAATACCGAACACTGTAAATATCGACTTTGATATACTTAAAGACGTTACTCACACAAATTAATTTTACGTTCCATTCGTTATATTTGTTTATTTTGTAATAGTTTTAGAATAAATTGAAAACATAGAGTGAAATCTTCTTGTGATAAATAACAAATATTTTGTGGATACAAAATGGCCGTCGATACATGGTATGTAAGGAATGCAGTTCGCGAACGGCGGCGTGCCATCAGACGCGCATTCCCATAGCTTGATTCACTTGCGAGTGGCGACTGTTCCAGCTTCATGTACACTATGACATAATTTTAACAATGATATTATGCACATAATATTTACACCAAAAAGGTTAATTAACAATGTGTCAAATGTTTTTTTTTTATCAAGCTACAGAGTCATTGCGGCCAGTATCGCAATTTGTCTATGGTATTCTTTTATTTGTTAATTATTTATTAACTTACCTTGTATTTCATATAAGATAAAAGTATGCATATGATAATCAAAGAATAAATAATTTAAATGTATAATTTTTTTCTCACAAGTTAAGCGTTTTCAAAAGTTTATTTTAAAATACATATAACCGTCGTAACGGTCTGCGGCCGATCCAATCAAAGTAAAGCGAACAGTTTTTGCTCAGGGACTTCGTCCTTCTCGGAATTTGCAATCACGATAATGATAAAATATGATACTAATATCAAAAATTAATATAAGACGCTTCTTATTACAATTCTTAAAATTCATATATCTTATGTGTGTTTCAAAATCTATTTCTTCTCAATTATATAGTAAAAATATCATTGATAAACTATAATAACGTCACAGTTGTGATAACAGATACCATGTTTTGTAACGTTTGTTATCGCTTATAAACATTTAAACCTTTTGAGTGTTTATAATACAACTATGGATAATAAACAATCGCTTTGACGTTTTTAAAACAGATTGAATACAGTGGTAACGGGCATGGTGTGCCCTTTTGCTAATATTCGCTGCGAGCACGTGGTCGCCGCCATTTTGATGTGCTATTTCATATTGTTGAATTGGTATCACAACATAATTGTATAGTATTCCAATGATAACACATGGCGACGGAACTAAATCACAGTCCGTTGACTTTTTTATTAATGAAAAAAAAAAAAAAACTAGGTATGCGTCGTATACGTAACGGCGTGTGACATCCTGTTATCAGTGCGTCATAGACGTGTGTATGGAGTTTTATTTACGGAAGCGCTCCCTATTCCCTGTACGGTTGGCGCCAAAACGATAGCCGCGGTACTTCCACACTAGCGAGGCACGTTCAATGCGCCCGCTCGGGTGTATTGCCCGCAGTTTGCTACGCGCATCCTGCCTACTACGTTCTTTAGCGTCCTCCTTGCACGCACGTAATTACCGTATCTAAGAAAGGGACGTGTATATAACGAGAAACGATTTTTGTACCGCAGAAGGACGCCACGAGATCAATGCACTTTCCGAGGATAGCAGCGAGCCGTTTTTATACGGGTTAAAGTTTGACTGTTCAGATTGTAAAAGCAATCTTGATGTTAATGTAATAAGTCTGGTTTTAACATTGATCGGTGGTAAGTCGGTGTCTAGACGCGCGGGAAGTGAATAAAAGTATGTAAGTAGAAGGCATTCCAATTTCCAGTCGCTGGAATATCTACCGCGGCGTCTATAGCTACGAGCCTACCAGTTACCACCAACCGTCGACGTATTTGAATGCTCACCTTATTTTTAACTTCAACTATAATAGATCTATGTTAATACGGGACACACTCATCTATATATAAAAACTTTTTTCTTCGTCATGTTGTTGAATGGAAGATTTATGTCCGCGTCAGCCATACTTGTTTGGGCTCATTATTTATTTTCTTAAAATATGATGTTTTCGTAAGTTATTTTTGATAAAACGTGTATTTATTTTTATATTATAATTTGTTTGTTACCGTAGCACTAAATCGGACTTTAATCTGTAACGATTCAGTTGTACGAGATCATCTTTTTTAAATTGGTCACGTGCGTTTTGGTGTTGTTTTTATTTCTATGAAAAATATACACATATTAAATACATGTTACGTATCAATGTTGAATACAAAGCGTCCATTATAAATATTTAATAGGTTTTGTTAAATTGTAACTGTCTACTGACGTATGTCCCTATTACTATGGAATAGTTTAGTTTGTAAGCCAAGCAGGCGGAAGGAAGCCCTTATAGGTTGGAGGAAATTTAAGTTAACCTCAATAAGATCATATTACTAGATTATATTGTAATGAAATACTCCTTACATTTTATTAAACGTCAATTTGATGTTTTAATTACATATAAAATTATATAGAATTTTAATTAAAAGTAGATATTTTTTCTTGAAAATATGATAGTCGTTATAACTTCAACGTTGTAAAAATATATGTACTTGTAATTTAGTTTATACCTTTATGGTATCTACGTATATTTTATAGAAAGGTTATTATCCTTCATGCGCCTTAGTTTTTTTTGGTCATATTGTTTACAATCTGTATTATTGGTGCTCAAGTAGTTTAAATTATTTTTTAATAGTGTATATTTATATGGCGTTGTTTCAACTTGTTTGTCTACCTTAGGACAATGACCGTCTCGCGCTGCCGCACTTTATGGGTACATAATATAATATGTATCAAAACGTTCTTGTTACCAATTACTTATCTCTGTCAATTAACATTTAAAACGTATGAATTTTTCATTTATAAACCGTATTGCAAAAGTTAATTGGCGGTGCTTATCTCGTCTGGGCATAGAAAAAAAAAGGTATATTACAAAATAATATGTCGTAGCTTAAGATAACGCTCATTACATATTCTGAAATCGTTCGATAACGTATTTATAATTATTTAATTATCGAACGTGCACCTCGACCGTTGGTTGTTTGAATCCGCCATGTGCGTGGCGGGAGGCTCGGGCAGGTGGTTCGCGAACTGCGTGCTGGGTCAAAGGACCGAGCCAAGGTCGCGCACCAAGACATTCGCGCCAATAACCTTGCTTAGCGCCTCAATGTTGCCATTACAATGCGGACACTATACACACACTAAACATCCGGTACATACAGCATACAATCAAATTAAATACAAGGGATTAAAAAAAAAAACACCAAAAAGTTTTTAATGCAAAATTTTTTTAATAAAGAGGAAAACACCAAGGAGTTTCAATCTTCATGTATTTGATTAATATATAGTGACTGATTGAATAACAATATTACGTAATATTCAATAATAAATATAATATTTTTATTTTCTATAATAAAGATGTTCCTAATACCTACATTATTTACACGTGCCACATAGAGTTATGTGACCGTAGGAATTAACAATAAGCGTGTCACTATGTAAAGTAATACTTTATTGCAAGTGCAATGAATGTTGTCGTTAAGCGTATGTAGGCATTTTATTTAGCTATTGTAAAGCAGATTGTTTTATTATATAATATATATATTAGAACATTTTAATATATATTTTACACGTGTATATCTTATACTGTCTTAAAACATATGTATGTGGCTTAACTAGTTCCGGCGTATAATAATTTGAAAACAAATTTATCCTTTATCATATTATGTATTTACAATTGTAAATAAATTTTATCAAAGCCGACATTTTCAGTGATAAGTAAATGACAGATATTCTATAATAATTAATTACCTATAACAAACACGAATAATTAGTTGAATATTATACTTTATACATAGTTTTTAAGATAAACAACAATGTTCTTTAAATTCAAAGTGATCTAATATGAAATATTTTTATTATGACAGAATTCTATATATATGAAGAAAATTTTTGTTCAAAACAATACAAGTAACGGTCAAGTTTAAACGCATTCATACGGATTCACATCGCCATGTTGATGTAATGTTATCTTGTTATAATAAACAATTTCATATCATTTATTATAAAAGATTACATTAATAATATATATTATATGTAATCTATATACAATGTATCTTATATTATTTGTTTCTCATATAAAACGACACGTTCTCAATATATTTTCTTTCCGTATATTGACACATGTATCGGTCAGTAATCTTATAAAATACATTGTAATTCTTCCACGTAATAATACTTTATGTACTCAGAGTTACTTATATAAATCTAAATATTACTCTAATAAATTCATTACGATCTATGAAATATGAAAATGATATTTAAATTCATTAATAAATAATTATAATGATTAATGATTAAACCCGTAATGAAAATTAATAATTTCGAAATTTAGAATATGATTTCAACTAAAATAATAATAAAAGAAAAGTTATTGTTATATTAATTTTAATAATGTTCAGACGACTGGAGTAAATGAAATCGTTCTCTGAATTATAAAATAGCATATTAGTTACACGGTAGGTACGGCACGTGTAAAAAGCAATTTTGTAGTTACTATACGTTAGAAGTTTACACATTACATTGTTGGAGTAACTATTAATAAATACATATATAATAACTAATATACTTAGATAATTTTTGGTGTTATTTTATCAGTATATATATCAAAGCATTATTTGTTGAATTATATCTAAGAACTAATTATGTGATCTTAAATTATAAATATGCCGCTGGGTTAAAGGTCACGTAGAAGAAACAATATGTTTTGTAATATTAAATAACTGACCTACCCTCTTGGTGACGCACCTGAAAAAATATAATCTCAAAAATTTATTTATCATAGATAACAACTGTCATGCATCGATATCTGTTGTGTATCAAACGTTATACAAAAACTGCACCTTGCAATATATAGGTGGGTATATTTTGATTATTCTATGATGAAATTTGCAAAAAATTAACAAGTCTGGACCTATTCGGCGATTCGTTTTATGTATTTAAAAAGGAAATTATTATTGACTATTTTTCTTCGAATTCATAGTTTTCTTAAGTTTATATATGTATATTTCTTTAATTTTGTAATTTAAACGTAGTATTTTTGTTTTATATTTAAATTAGTGTGTATACTTTTTGATTGTTTTTGGTTAATGTTATGTACACTTATCATTGACGTACATATCTGTTGTTATAATAGTCACCTTCCTTAACTGAAAACTTTTAATATGTATGTTGTTAGTGTGCTTATTATAAATAAATAAATAAATTCTATCATATATCGCCAGGTGGCGAGTTCATTGCACGCAGTTTTTATTTTGTTTTCGAACTCTCGGGGGTGTTTGTGCTGTCTCGACTGGCAAAAAAACACTCGACCCACCTGGCTTTTTGTATATAACTATCTAAACGCTCACGAACTAGGATATTCACAAATCGAAATATATTACCTGCTTTAAATGTTACAATGCAATGAGTTATGAAAGAAGTATTACTGAATGGTTCTATTGTTTATATTTAAAAATAATATTGTCTATGGCTCAGGTAGCGAAGTAAATAAAAAAGAAAACTAAAACTAGAATTTGACAATGACATGCCGCCATTATTATCCGAAGGGCAGATATATTTTACGAATAATATATTTTCTCAATGGAATTCTTAGAATTATTCCATAATAGCTTTTGGTTAAAGTATTTCCATGAAATTTACCCTGAATTTTAGGTTTATTTGCTGACAATGAAACCAAGAGTCAAGACAAATATATACCTTATTCTTCGTAATACCTTTTTGTATGTATAGCGGCTAATCAATTTGGATGGATTTATATATAAATAATAAATTTTAAAAAGCTATGATGTTATTTTTTCTCGTTTTTGTCTATGGTATAACGCTTGCTTACGTCCTGCAAGTTGCAGTTGCGTTCACAAAAGAAAAATACACAGCACGTGCCACGCCGTCAACAGCTGTGTTCAGTTCAGGCCATTCGAACATACAACACTGTACATATATTAAACCTTTTTTGTGCTCGATTCACTTTTTTATATGATTTTTTTTATTGGCAACGATAGCATATGTGCTATTTGATATAAATGCGGCTTCCCGTTTTTATAAATAATATTTAAATAATCAAGTAAACTGAAGACTCCGAGAAAATAGGAATTTTTATTTTTGTTTTATGTTATACATTGACATATGGCATATAGAGTGGTTTACGTCTGTTACTATAGATAAAATAAAATTTAAGTTCATTAAATCGCATCGTAATTAATTACTAGGTACAAGAATATTTAATTTGAACAGTTAGTAAACTAATTCAATTAATCGATAGACATTCCAAGAACCCAACAAAGCGTCATCAGACATCGTTTATTTATCCTTAAATAATGAACTTGTCTGCTAATTAATGAAAACAATTAAGATTCCTTGAATATGCTTATCATTTTTAAACACTATGTTATATTTACTATATCTAAATGTCAGCAGATAGGATCTGGATTCTGTAATAAACGGCTAACCACAAGTTGTACACGTGGGTGGAAATCTTTTACGGCGCTTTTACTGCATCTAAGTATTATTGATTTTGTACCCGAGTTCCGCGCTCGAATTCCACCCCCCCCCCCCCTCCCGCCCCTGACGCAAACCCCCTACCCGCCAAGCCACCCCTCGTGACATACAATGCCACACCGACGCGTTCCTCTTTCTAATTTTCAAAACATAGACACGTGGGCTTGGCGTGCCTAAAAAAATAAACAGAAAACGGTTTGTCTTTTAAAATTCTATTATTATTATTATTATGTTTTAATGAATTCTCTGCGTACCAACTACCGGTGTATTCCCGAAATTTACCTTATAATTGATTGACGTCATCGTTAATTGTTTGTTAATAATCGTTGGGTTTAATTTATAAGTTGTATTGTTATAAATAGTGTTCTAGTGACACGAACGGTGTAGTAATAGTGGGAGGAAAGGAAAGCTATGTGTATTATGCAGTTTGTATAGATAGGCTTGTACGGTACGAAACTCAGGGCAGGGTGACAGTCGGCGGAAGAGAGCAGGGGGGAGGGGTTCACATTATACCAACAAGCGCCGTACGTACCGCGGCCGTGCGATTATTCCGTCTACTGAGCGGAGGACGTAGTCAATGCCTCGCTTGCCGCTCGCGTCTAGCGCTGTGTTTGTTACTACTTTAGTCTGCAACGCGCCGTCGAGTCGTTCGGTAGTGTTCACGAGCGCCTTGCTTTATAATATCTAACAAAAATATCGTTATAATAGTTGTAATTACAATTTGTTTTGCATTCCTTAGAAAAAATATACACAATAATTTCGTGAAATACTTAATTAAAAGTGATCTCTAGATAAAATAAACGAACTACATGAACTGTGGTCGTGCTTTTTACAATTTTGGACGTTAATACAGAAGTGTGATACAACGTATGGGAAGTTTAGAAATGAGCGGATTGACCATTAGAGTTAAAAGGGGATCGAGGGGTAGTGCTACACTTCTCGAAGCAGCAAACAGAATTCTTAAACTGCTTGGCGTGAGCTCCACCAAGCGCGGGAAACAACCCTCGCCGAAATCAAAGGTAAGGTCAACGGCTCAACCAGTTTGTTATTTATCGTTTAATTATGCGAGCATAAATATCATACACTATTTACATATTACCCGTACTGAAATATACTATGTAATAATCTATACATTTACATTCCTTCAATGATTTAAATTAAATTCAGAGTCCTAAGACAAGTATTTGTTTGTAACCTCAACTAAAAACATTATCGTGTTGTGAGTGTTTTTTTGTAGATAAGTTCAACAGTAGATCGGTATATTTTTCATAAACGTTCACAAACTTTCGCTGCACTAGCTTGTACTTTCGCTCGTTGCATCTATAAATCGCAGCATGAGAGCATTCGCTGGCACAAGCCGCCAGCCGCGCCAGTCGCGTATGATCGATATGATGGTAACAGACTACAGAGGCGGCGGGCGCGCCACTGACAGGACACTTGTTTGTTCACGCGTCGTCAGCGTGACCACCTTGTTTACCACTCACTCACTACAAACGATTCACGATCCGCATTCATCACTATGTTTGTAACGGCCCACTATAAATGTCATGTACTATTTCGATTTGAGTGAACTGTGAAGTGCATTCTTCTACTACCCGGTATAATTGATGTTTATTAAAATAATAATACGAAATGTTATGTTTATATTAATATCAGATAAGACGTGGAAAGTATTTTGACCAAATATCAAATAAACATTTATCTTGTGCGTGATAATTATTGCGCATCCTTTTTTGCCTCTTTGTATTTATGTAGTTCTCGATTAAAAAGTATGAATGAAACAGTTCTATGTCAATGTATTATGAAATATTTGAGTGCGTATCATGAACACTTGAGTTGACGGTTTTAGATAATATAGAATTAGGAATGTGTAGTCTAAATACTAATTAAACGTGTTTTCTCATGGGGGGCGAGCGGTTTTAAATATAAAGGAATAACTAAGATAAAACATATTTACAATTATAATTAGGTATTTATTGGTAGTGATTATACGAGTCGAAGAATACGATTATTTGAATGTCATTTATTTTAAGGTAAAAGAGAAGTGTTTTTTTTTTTTTTTACAAACAAACATTGATAACTTGAAATTATGTTATTGCTTACAACTTGGCATGAATAATATAGATAAGTTTTTGTTTTGAGACGATACACTCAGCCACCGCGTGGACATGTTTTATTATGACTTCTCAGCAAGTTAAACAAACCAAATATCAAACATCAATTGCTTGTTTTGATACTGATAATAAAATATGTATATTGTAAAACGATTTATGTTTAAACAAAATATTTCACATCTCTATATGAACGGTTGACAGGAAACGTTAGAATATTCAAATGATATCGTCTTGTAAAAGTAAGAATGGATTTGTAATGTGTGCATTAAGCGCATGGCATGGCATGTAAAAGAGAGAATTGTCTGATGAATGTGTTTGTATGCGGTCATCGACGTAGTGGCATGGTGGGGAGCGGGCCGCGGAATGCGTTGCGGTGGGAATGCGCTCGGAGTACCGTTGCCTCTATATGTACACTGTATACCGCCGCTTCGGAATGCCGAGACCCACTTGTCTACTTGGACCAACTAACTTATTTCAGTGACTCACGTGCGAAACTAAATGGCACATTCGCGAATATTTTATATGTGGATTTTTTTTTAAGTTTTTCAGTTTCATGTAATTGTATTGTATATAGTAAAGAATGTCTGGAAATTTCTGAACGGAAACATTCATTGATGAAAAAAATACGTTATATTCAATTAGCAATGTCGGTTTAAATATAATGCAATAGTAATTTTTAATAGTATAGTTTTTGTTTATCCTGGCGGCACTGAATGGCAGGCGCGTTTTTTGCCTGACGCCTACGTAAGAAAATGAACAAAAAAACTTGGGCAGCAAACTTTAGAAATTGGATCATCGAACCGTTGGTAAGGCCAATGAACGTGGCGGCGTTTCGAATACATCAGACATTTAGTTAAAGCGAGCTCTCAACGTGCTATAGCGTCTGATTGCAAGGATTATATTCGCACAATCATTTTCGTCGATATTTCAAGTGTTCTAACGTGCTTTAGATGCGGTATTATAACGGAATTGTACTATCGTTAGTGATTACTATTTTTCTTAGTAGATAAATATTAAAATTATGCAAAATGAAAACTTATTTGTATCGGAGATTCCATTACTTTGTCATTTTCGTGTTTCGTCATTGTGACGTATATTTGTTTTGTTTGTTATGTATCTACATTAGTCTGACAGCGCGTACAGTCTGTCATGGTTCAATATTTTTGTATATAATGATGCTAGATATGTTTATTATGGTATTATAAAGGTGTTTTATTGTTGCAGCCAAACGGTGTACCCGGGAGTGAGGTTAGGGCGCCAATAGCTACTACAGAGTGCGTGATTGACTCACCAGTCAAAATGCAAGCATCACATGCTGCCTCGGCCCCTGTGCCGACGCCCACGTCCACTCATTCATCAAATCAGTCTTACAAACATTCAAAACGAACCGCGAAGGACTATATATTTGGAAAACTCATAGGCGACGGCTGCTACAGCACCGTCTTCTTAGCCAAAGACATACATACTGGAAAAGAATATGCAAGTAAGTTATTCAACTAAATTTATTTCCGGATTATCATTTAACATATATTCTATAAATTAAAGAGTAATTATATGCTATGATTCGGTATTTATTAATTTGAAATGTTCTGTCCTTTCCAGTTAAAGTTTGTGAGAAAAGTCACATCGTGCGACATCAAAAAGTTCAGTACATAAAACGTGAAAAAGATGCTTTGAATATGCTGTTCAGTGTACCGCACGGGTTTGTGAAACTTTACTGCACATTTCAAGACGAGGAGAGATTATATTTTGTATTATCATACGCCAAGAACGGCGAATTGTTACATTATATAAATAAGGTCGGTTCGTTCGAATTAAATGTAGCCAAATTTTATGCCGCCGAATTATTGATGGCACTAGAGAAAATGCACGCGATAGGAATCATACATCGGGACCTGAAGCCCGAGAACATTTTGTTGGACGAGAACATGCACTTACAAATAGCTGACTTCGGTACGGTGAAGATACTTGACCCACAGAAGATTAGATCCTCAACACCAAATGTACCGGAAGACGAACAAAACTCAACGTCAACAGATCGTTCAAGGAAGATCAGTTTCGTTGGAACTGCTCAGTACGTGAGCCCAGATCTATTACAGAACCGTGTAGATACACGTTCTTCCGACCTATGGGCTCTAGGCTGCATCATATACCAGATGATATCCGGACTACCTCCCTTCAGAGCGTCCACAGAATTCCTTACATTTCAGAAGATATTGAAAATGGATTACGAATTCCCTGAAGGTTTCCCAGCGGACGCCAAGGATTTAGTAGAAAAATTGTTAGTTTTGGACCACAATAAGAGGCTCGGAGCGAGCGACGAAGGTTTCACGTATGAAAGCATTCGTAAACATCCATTCTTCGAAGGCATCGATTGGGAAAATATTTGGGACGAGACACCACCAAAAATAAGTCCCTATTTACCTGGTGGATCGTTCGAAGAAGAATACACAGTGCCTGATCATCTAGAACCCGGATTAGGGAAGAACCAACTAGTGCGCTTATGGGAATTCGATCTCTCGACATCTAGAGGTAAATATTATTTTCACTTCTATATATTATAAATAAAAAATGGTTTGTTTGTTTGAACGCGCGTGCAAGTGCATTGAAGCGTCTAGTAAGAGGATCGTCCGTGACCTGAATTCTTTGTACGCGTGTCGTTTCATAACTGTACCAAGATAATATTTCGCATTTCCGATTCAACGTTCGCGTTCAAATTCTCGCCCACGTCGATCCCATTGATACTGTAGTCGTGTATAAATAAATGAGTTCACTGCATGTGTTACCATCTTGAAATATAATCTTACCAGATGTGTAACTCACTGTCCCGTCATCACTGCATCATTGTATTCGTATATAAAACGGATATCCTTTATGTTATGAACTTACGTTTATGTACCACTGATATCATTTCCTGTACCGTTCGTCGTATTTGGTTGCTTGCGTTCTCATCAATGAATCGTACTACACATTTATATAGACTAATGACTTGCCTGTTTTGAAACGATTTATATGAAACTTGTTCGCTGGAATCTTGGTGCTAAATATTTTTTATTTTTATAGGAATTTTGAATATCAGCCCCGAAGAGAAAAGACGCCGTTTAGAAGTTCAAGCTAGAGAGAATAAATGGCACCAGTTTGTTGATGGAGAGCTTATATTGAAGCAAGGATTGGTCGAAAAAAGAAAGGGTCTTTTCGCGAGGCGTCGTATGTTACTATTGACAACCGGGCCTAGATTGTTCTACGTAGATCCCGTCAACATGGTGCTTAAAGGAGAAATACCATGGTCACCGGATCTACGTGTTGAAGCAAAGAACTTTAGAATATTTTTAGTGTACACGGTAAGTTACTATTTATTTAAGTTATTTACCCATCTTCACTAACTATCAACTATCTAGACTTATATAAAGTAAATAATTCTAAACGGATACATAGTTTTTAAATTGATTTTGATGTTTTTGTCAGGCTTAGCATATACAGCCATAGTACTTGATAAAGATAAATTTCTCCATACAGTTTGCACAATCGATTTTGATCTTTTTTGTCAGGCTTAACATATACATCCATAGTACTTGATTTAGATAAATCTCTCCAATACCTTGTGAATTTTGCTAGTTTATTGGAACTCTATTTAATGTTATTTTTTTATTTCCAGCCAAATCGTACATACTATTTGGAGGATCCCCAGTCATACGCGTTGGAGTGGACCCGGGTGATAGACGAGGTCCGCATCGGAACATACGGGAGGGACACCACCTAGACGGGAGGGACGCAAGGCTCCGCACTCCTCCCGCCATCGCACGGCGAGTGCACACTTGTAGGATATAGCTAGCCTCTCTCTATACAACGCTGGAACTATGAAGGGCGACGCGATTCCTTTAAGTTTGCAAATGCCGTCGCGGGCCGCACATATGTTCCACGAAACGCGCACGACGCGGGCGCGACGGGCGCACGAGACGCGCGCGACAAACGCTGCACGCTCCGAGGGAGACCGAAGACGACGTCAGCCCCCGGACGGAAGGTCCTGACGCTATGACTGATTCCTACTTTCATAAATTATTGCCCTAATTTAAGTTATATTTAATTAATATCGGCGGTATGTGTAAATAATTGTCGTAATTTATTATTGAAATTGTTAGTTATGTAACTTGTATTGTGGGCCGTTTTAACTTAAATTTAAACTGGTCTAGTGTAAGAATGGACTTGTTATTCGCCACCCGCGTGTTCACGAAGCCCATTCCTGTTGGTAACTAGGCAATTTATAGCTAAATTAATAATTATTTATTTTATTTTAATTATTTGCCAACGGAATGAGACTGTTGTACAGATATTAAAACTGTAGGAAATTATTAATGAACTGTTTCCTTCAACATTTACACATTAAGGCGTAATTATAGAAGTAATGATTATGGTATCTCGATGTACGTTGATTGATGATGTGTAAACACGGGAACAGTTCTTATATGAGAAGGATAGCTTCTTTATTAAGAACTGGACGTGATGCGGAATGTTATAATTAAATTTCAATATGTCAACTAATTCTGCATTCAAGTCCAGGTTCTGCCTCTCATTGATTGCAAAATCATTGAGTATTAGTGCTTATTTCATGTGCATCCTATGCATTGCACTATAATCCTACCTAGCTAAAGTATACGGATAATTTCACCAGAGGTGATTAAAATAATTTAACATTATTGTTCTGGTATAAAAAGGATAATGGCCACTAACGCGCTGCAACGATCCAATGTAACAATAATTTGCCTCAAACAGACACTTAAGATGTTTTAGTATTTTCAAAGTTTATTTTGTTTCCATTCATTGTGTAAAGTGACTTGCATGTCAATAATGACAGTAGAAGTTTTTTTTTATGTAAGCTATGGCTTCATTGGACAGCCAAAGTTAAAATGTTATTTTGTATGTGACATAGCTTTACCCTAGCAACATTAATTGACATAATTGTTGTTTAAAAATTAAAAGAAGACAGAATCAAATGTGCCCTTACTAGAATAATAACTATCTTTACATTTGAGTAAGTTTTTACAGTAAATAGTGACAGAGGTCTTTAAGTTCAGGTTATACAAATTTTTATAATAATGATTGGCCATTTCCTTTTTCTTAGAAAATAAATTATTTTAAAATTTCAATGTACCTAATACCAAGTTTGTGTTTTGTTTTGTGTTAATTAGTGATAAAAAAATATGTTACTGGAGAAATCAATGTCATGGCTTTTGGTAAAATTACATTCAATTTCCATTTTTTATTTTGTTACATTTAGATGTTGCCACAACTTGCCCTTGCATATGCAACAATCCTAGATAAATGTGATTTAATATGCACCTGAAGCATTTAGTTATTATTATTTAAATCAGATAAACCATTTCGCAAAAATACTATCCATTGGCTGTCAGTGCAATTGGAAATTCCATGACATTGTTACTAATAAAATTAATAAACTATCTGCATTTAAAATTTAATACCTGTTAACTATGCTAGTTATATTTTAAAACATTTCTAATGCATAAATTCCATGAAGTAACTTAATAAGAAATTGAGAATAAATTGAAGTTGATTTTTTATATGCTTGTTTATCCTTTTTTCCCCTATATCATAGTCGTTAAGGTATTATAGTTTTTACCTCCAAACAGTATTAAAAATTCAAAAGCATAAAAATGTGCACAGCCTTTTGGTATTAAGAAGGAAAACCAGATGTGTGAATAGAAACCATGCACAGTTAATAAACCAAAATTATTTCATTAATGAGATATATTTAAATATTAAAGCAATATATATTATTCAACTTTTATCATAAGAGTTTAACTTAAAAACAAAATTGACATAGAAATGAAAAAGGTTGCTTTGATTTTTATCAAAGCAGAAAACATTTGAATTATGTGAACTCTAATTGGACTGCTAGAGCTATACTTATATTCTTATAAATTAAATAATGAAAAACAAAAGCTATGGAGAAACTGAGGGCTATTTGTCTCAAATACATAACATTTCTTGAATGATCTCTTTCGTGAAATTAATTTTAATTTGATAATGAAATGGACAGTAACTGTAAATATTGATAGGAGAAAAAAAATCCAAAACCAAACCTGTCTATTTGAAAATTTCAAAGAAACAATCTGTCTATAATACAAATATAATATAATAAGAAGTGGCATAACTTAATATTTTGCAAAAAACATACAATTCCCACTAATATTATAAATGCGGAAGTAACTCTGTCTGTCTGTTACGCTTTCACGTCTAAACCACTGAACTGATTTTAATGAAATTTCGTACAGAGATAGAGTTGACATTGAGAAAGAACATAGGATAGTTTTTATCCCAAACTTTTGAAAGGTTCTCTTGGAAAGTCGATATAACCGAACTCCACGCGGGCGAAGCTGCGGGCGGAAAGCTAGTGTGAAATATAGCATCGTATACACTTTATAATTACATATATGATATTTTTATAAGAGTATTAATTGCTCAGATAAATTTTCAATATAATTTTTATTTAAACATATTCCTAATCATTATTTTTCGGAGTTATATAATATTTAATCGTTTGCATAATATCCTAAGGTTTTGCTTTCGTTTAAACAAATATAAATAAATTTGGTTTTGCCTATTCGATTAAAATTGTTTATGAAAAAGAAAAAAAGATACAATTATTATTCATAATATTCAAAAACTTTTATACTGAGTAGAATGGTGTGTCATGTATTGCATCATCATAAATAAACTGCACTTTTTGGTTAATTAAATTATTTAAAAGTGCTTGTATGCTGCATCTTAATTTCTTATTATTAATTTTTGAAGCTATAATGAAAAATATTATTAAACGTATCACTGATATGACATTCAGCGATACGTCAAAATTCAATTGTCAGTGATTCAAAACTAACCTATTGGTAACTGGTAAGTATAGAATCTATTTCTAATATTTTAACTCAACCTACTAGTTTACAAAATTACTATAATTTTTCAGTAATTCTTAGAATAATATATCGGCTCGATGACAACTCAAGTTATTAAATATGTGGGTCGAACAACAAACTTCAAAGGCAAGACTTTATGGGAGATAGTAGGAAGTCTTAAAAATTATGGTGTAGGAAGGATTATAGTGAGATCTGTATTTAATCGCTATCCGGAACCCAGTTTTATGAAAATTGTAAAAGTTGAAACATGTCCGGATGAAGTAAGTTCATTTTTAAATGTTTCTCTATTGAATTCTGCTTTGTTTGAATATTCATGTCATTTGTATTTCAGGATATATTTTCGTCTTATACAGACGTTAACCGTAGAAACTTGACTTTATTTTGGACGAAATTAAAGTTTCTCTAATTTGGAACTAACTTTAATTTGAATTTATGTGGAATTAACTTGAAACATTCCAGGAAAGAAGGCGTGTAAGGGTTTGGGTTGAGAAGACTTTCAGAGGTAGAAAATCACCCCAGTTAACAGAAATCTATAGAACCTCTTACAAGCCAGATTACAATCTGATTCCTAAAGACGAAGAATACAAATTTTTAGAAGCTGTTAAGAGTAATGAATCAGAAGTAATTCTTCCAAATACCATTGAAATGCCACCTTTGATGAAGAGATTTATTGTGAAAGATCATGAAAAGAAGGGATTAGAGGTAATAAAAATGATTAATGACACAACTTATTTACATAAGAACATATTAGTAATTTATACGTCCAGATAGGTGAATTACCTAATTTACTATAAGAAAATACCTATAGAAGGTTGAAAATGTAGTAAAAGATTCTTATTAAATCTTCATATGAATATTTTATTCATAAACATTTCTTCAATCTTTTCCTATGGTCCATAATTATTTGACATAATATTATCAGTGACTTGGTTTTGTGCAGATAACAAAGATAAAATTAGGAAAAATATGTCAGAGAAATTAATATCAATGAAAAAAATTATTTTCATTCATTCCTTATGCTTTATATCCATATTTTTGTATTCTTCGAAATTCTGAATTTCCTTGTTAACTTATCTCTTGAGATGTCTTATATTATGATAAATAGTATCAAATATTGAGAATATTGTTTTACACAAATATTATAAGTCACTTAAATTGTTAAAGTATATTCCTTGTAGTAGGACTAATCTATTTATAGGTTAATTTCATATAGTACATACTCTTTTATGAGTAAACTAGCTTTATGAATTGGATATTTTCACAATCACTGAATATGCTTAAATGTCTTTCATAGAGATTGTCATTTCTTTCAAATGAGACTGCATTTCTAAATTTTAAATTCATCCAAGAGACTATTTGAAACAAATAAATAGTATAAACAATGATTTTGAATATAAATGTTTATTTATATAATATTCATTCTTCATTTATTAAAAATAATTTTTAAATAATATAAAGCATAAGCTGAGGCTATTGTTTTTAAATAATAGTAGTCATAGTATCTGTTTAATTAAAATATCTGGTTTGTAATAACCAGTTCAAAAAATTTCATTATTCCAAATACATTGACTCTATTTCAAATGTTATTTCTATTTACAATAAAGAATTAAATTTTACAATTATATTACTGTTGAGTTTTTAACAAACATTCATACATAATAAATACAAGTATATGGATTTATGAATACACATTAGTTGTAGGATATTTCAAAAGAAATGTTGGTTTTTGTGGTATATTACTTACGTAATAAAACATTTCCGAAAGAACAATTTTTATTCTATTTGGATTATAAAGACGTTATAACAAATGAGACATGGTATTCTCCCACATCAAAATGTGTAATATTTCATTTATACCTTTAAAATTTTCTATGCATATATATTTTCAGACAACTATTATTAAATACTAAAGAAATTCATAGTAACAAAATAAAATTATAAATCTATTTATGTATTGAAAAAGAAAGTGTGTTTTTTAGCATCTTAGATAAATTTGTTTATTAATTTCCTGATTTATTGTATATGTTTTTCCATACAAATTATTCTACATGGTTAATTAATGTATGTGTATTCTCATTTTCAGACTATAAAGGAGTATGTATTACCCTTATCATACAACCATAGCCCAAATAGAGTAGCAAGAATAGCCAAGGGTGATGAAAAACCTACTGTTAAATTTACTATGGGTTTGGGCAAGCCAGCGAGTCCATCATTATATGAAGGTATACCCTTACAATAATTGGAAATCATTTCTAAGATCTAGATTAAATAGTTAAAGTATAATCGTGTTTCATTTATGTAAATAATTAAATCTTCAACTCATTGCTTCTTGTGAAATGTTTGGAGAGAAGCAAACTTCTTAGCCAAATATGGATTGGTGTCCATTTCAGGAAGATTATCTTCTGCTTCAATTTTCTAAAAAAAAAGTTAATTAATAGATTTTATGACTCGTTGAACACTACAGCAATATGTATTTTAGGAATCCAAGACTGATAAAAATTAAAATGTTATGAGAAAAAAATAGTCTGTTGAAACTTAGCTAACATTTATAGGTGAATTTCTATTATTATATATTTTTTAACTGTGGAGTAGTGTTGAAGTTATATCTGATAGATCATCAAAAACAATAACTTAAAATATATAGCGTTCTGTGTGGTTCACTATGTACAACTTGAATTTTGACCAAGAGTATTTTTTAGGAGCCAATCTACTTATCACTTGTGATTAAAATATACATAATATACGCCATTTTAAAAATAAGATATTTTTGATCACAAACAAATAGTTCTTTACAAACGAATGATTTTAAGAAAAAAGTCAGCATAGTGTAATGGGCATAGTATTTATAAGCTACCAAACTTTTATATAAAAGTAAGTTAAGATTGCAAAGTTCATTACCCTCCAAAAGTCACGCATTTCTTGAACTTCTTCTTCACGCTGTACAAAGTACTGACGAACTGATTTCTGTATTAGAGTAGCAGCATAATTTTCAGGCCATAACCAAGATTTGGGATAGTACGGACGAGGTCTGGAATCGTTTTAAGATAATTCTATGATTATAATTACAGTGTAAACTCTATATAACGACACTGAAGGGACCGTGCATTTTAGTGCGTTATAGAGAGTTGCCGTTAAATAGAGGGAAGAAAAATCAGAATTGTGTTTTGCTGCACCAGTAATGTTATTGTATTTTTTACGTATTTTATTCATATCTTGCGATATTGAGGCATATTGGTGAAGAACGAATTTCTTAGAAAGTTTGGTATGCATGATTACGACAGTGGAGTTTATTGCGGGCTAGGATAACAAAGCGACAAAAAAACGTACACAGCTGCGCATTTTTTACTAATTTTAGCAACTTAAAAGGTACTTTTTATTACTTAATTTTGTCGTTATTGAGAGTGGCTGTGACGCTATATAGAGTGTACGATTGTATGGTAGACAAGCGAAACCAACCAAAGTCAAATGATTTCGACGCTTTAGAGAGTTTGTCGTTAAATCGAGTGTCGTTATATGGAGTTTACACTGTATTTATATCAGTATACTTTTTATTATAATGAGAACTGTCATATTGTATTTAAAAGAAGTAAGCGGTTTTAGGCAAACTATTTCAGATAAATTAAAATCTTACTTGATCTTTAAATATTCTCGCACCCAGGGCATATTAAATAAATGTAGGTCCATTATCTTACGAGCAGGATATTTAGGATTATTATTCCATAGCACCTTAAAAATATATCTATACATTATGGGTCGTCTGTAAGAAATAAATATCTATTCAAGTTATATTATATTTACCTGAGCAATATGGTCGATACCGTTAAAAAAGCATTTCTGAATTTTTAATGCCTCCCAAATGATAGCCTTATTTAGGGTTTCTTCCAAAGCAGGTATAAGATGAACAAATATATCTCTTTTGACGTAGTCACATTCAGTTTCTTAAAATAATCAAAAATGAGTCAAATGTCGAGTAAAAAGTGTTGACAAATTGTATGAACAAAATGAGTCCTCACTTAAAAATTGCGATTTTGGAACTGGATCCATTTTGCTAGCTGCATATTCTTCTAGTTCCTTGAGATTGTTGTCTGTTTCTTCAACGATTTCTTTCCAATTTGCTTTGGCTCTAGTGTGTATGAGAACAGGAAAGTCAACTTCGGAGCAAGGTAGACTGTCTGGTAGAGTGAAGGTTGCCAAGTTCTCATCCAGTTCATTAGATATAGACTTAGTATCTTTGTTCTTTCCTTTACGGTCCGTAGCTCTTCCTGTCATTTTGTATTAATAATCAACACTTAAATAAAAATAAAATTTTAAATGTTTATATTTTTTCAACATTGACAATAATCCGATCTGTTATATTTATGTCAGTATTTTTTCTTTTTAAAATTATAGCTATTATGTATAAACTTACACTTAATCATTCAGACTCAGGTTTTATGTTGAGCAATTTATTTTATAAGATTGCTATCAATTTATTTATATTTCAATCAGATTCAGATAGTGATAGACATGGTACTAATCACTATTTTAATATTTAGTATTAATTGAGAATTTGTTTTGTTCCGGATTAAAAATCTTAGAAAACTGCAAGTTTCATATTTATTCATAATTTACTTAGAAAAATATGTTATTTTGTTTCACTAAAGACCGTACTAATACTACGTAGTAGGGTTTTCAATTTTGAAAAATATATTCTCTTAAATGGTTGTTCAATCATTTCATATTTATTATTTTATGTTAATTAGAAGAAGAATTTTTGAGACACACGATCGTATTTTATGTGCGTTTCTAACTTTTATTTTTATTTTGTAGTAGTGAATTAATTACTAGTTTTCTTTTAAATTTATATTAAATATTTAAGACAATTTAAATCTTAATCTAAATGAACTTAATAAAGCGCTCGGGAAACTGTTCATTAATCATTTATAAAGTGGACTAAAATAATCTTTAATATTTAAAAAACTATAACTTAAAACCAGAAAAAAAGGAAACAAGTCATGTTTAAAGTATACATTTATTTATTATTTTACAAAAAACTGCACATGCATTTACTTAATATCTCTGGACCTTACCGCCCAAAGGAAATAAATTAAAAATTTAAATAATGTTCTTACATCTAAAATATAATAGAAAATATATTGATTTGTGACATAATCGTATTGAGTATCCACAATCATTAGAACTGGGAGAATTTCCCTGTCACTTGGGAGATCCAGTCCAAATAATGAGCTACTTTTACGTAAACTCCTGGTACACCAGCCTGACCGCATCCTATTCCCCAAGACACAACACCTACAAGCTGCCAGGTTCCGCTTCGCTCGCAAACGAGTGGGCCACCACCGTCACCTTTGCATGCATCTTTGCCATCTTCGCCACCAGCACAGACAAAACCAGGATTCAACTCATAGTTGTAGCCCAAACGAGTCTGTCTTAATTGTTGTTGGCATTGACCATGGGGTAGTACTGGTACGTCTACTTCCTTAAGAATATTTTGGTACTTTCCGTTGGATCCAAACGCATCCTTGCCCCAACCAGTTGTCCAACATCTCTGTCCAGCGTAATCGGTGTATTTATCAGGGAGGCATGCAGGACTTATATGAGGATATTTGGTCCAGTCAACTGGGTGCTCTAATTTTAAAATAGCGAGGTCGTTGTCTAATGTGCCGGCGTAGTATTGTGGATGAACATGAACAGATATAACATCTCGTTCAATGTATGGGTAGAATTCAACATCGTGGTTAACATCCCATTCACCTAGACGAACTCTCAGCTCGAATCCTTTGTATCTATAAAAAAAATATTAAGTATCCTAAATTTATTAAAATCTTAATTAATAGAAAAATATATATTAATAACAAAGAATACATACGATTTGATGCAATGAGCCGCTGTCATAATATGAAGTCCATCAATAAGTGTGCCTCCACAAACGTAAACTGATTCTTTAGGATCCTTCTTCAATATAGCAGCTTGCCAAGGATATTCTCCGAATTCACTGTCACCGTCAATGTATGATGGTGTCTTTATCCTACCGTTGATGCCTTGAGAATGTCTGATACCACACTGGCCACGATTCGATGCCTGCGGTCTAAGTGGCCGGCGGCAACAAACTTGGTTTTGATTACATTGAGGAATTGCTGGTCCACCGAAATAACCTTGACGCTGAAACGAAATTTATTTATAATTAGCATGATATTAGTTGGAATATTAATAAAAGTTAATTTGGTGAGAGAAAAGATAGTGGATGAAATAAAACATTATAAAGTTAACGAAGTCAGTAAAAAAGTCTTCGTTACCTCTTGTATACTAATCGTTTCAGATGCTAGAGAGGCTTCCCTTTTCCTTCTGTTTGTTGGGAATCTTACAGTCTGGCTTTTCTGGTTTGCCCCAGATTGTGAAGGAATAGTTAGGGAACGCGAATAAGAATATCTATTTGCGTAATTATCATTTTGGTCATTGCTCTCTTTAGTTTGAGCAGATTTGGCATAATTGAAATTTTGATGATTATAGCCTATAGCAGTGTTGTAACTATTATCGTCATCATCATCATAATAGTCATCATTATCAGAAGGTGCATTGTATGGATTAACGCGATAGTGACCAGCATCGTAATGCGGAAAATGCGGGGAGTAAGAATGTGGTCTATGTAAACCATAATGGTCAGAATAGCCTACAGGGTGCGGGACGTATGGCCTATGAGGATAAGGCTGGTAAGGATGGGGATTATAATGATGGTAGTGTTCATGTTTATTCAAAAGGTATGCCTTTTTTTCGTGGAATATGTGACCGAGTTTATTAACTACATGTTCATTTGGAGTCACATGCAAATTTACAAAAGGTTTTACTACCTTTTCCCCGTAATCATTTTTCGTCACTTGAACAGCTAATAGTGGATTAACTGATAACAAGCCTAAATTAAGACCGCCTCCATTTAATGCGGGCCCGTATGGATTGTGTAAAGGATTTGAGTTGAAAGGATTAATGGGATAGCTATGGGAGGGCTGGGGCAACCCAAAAGAAACACCAAACGTGGGCTGCACTTTTTTGTCGCTATTACCGCCATTGCCTCCATATCCGGCTAACCCCAGAAGGCGCTGCAGTAATATATGCTTATTTATTTCAATGTCCATTTTAATGTTAGGTGATGTAAGTGCCCAGTGTTTAGTAATTCTTTTGAAAAGGTTTCAATCGGATATGCATTTTTGAAAATGTATAACAGATTGTGATTATGTTTGTTACCCCAGTCATTTGATGAGTGATATGGTAAGTTATTAGGTATAGGTCGGGTTTTTGGTAAGACTAGTATGATAATTGCGAGAGTAAACATATAAGATATTTATGAAAAGACATATTAAAACTTACCGGTTCAATTTCCTTTGCAGCCTCTTTAGTTTTAGCTTCATCAACGTCTCGTTTACTAATTTTCTTTGTCTCAGTGGAATTTTGACTGACATTGACCTCGTCGGAAGTTTTATTGGCTCCGTCTAGTTGTTCTTCAGTTAAAGCTAATATTTCGGAACCTTTGTTACGAGGATCAATTGGTAAATACAAGTCGTCTCGGCGTCCAATAATTTCTTGGCTTGGACATTGGTCGTATTTTACACACACACATTCAAATCCTTGAGCTTTGGCTTCATGTTGATTTTGTTGGTACAAATTATTTTGTGAAAATGTTGCCGGACCTTGGGTGTATAAGTTGCCGCTGGAGCCTACATTTAGTTCTTTTTTATAAAACTCATGAGATGCATAAGAGCCTAGTGAATTTCCATATTTTTGCTCTTCAAAAGTATTGCTGCCGAATTGATTTGGTAAGCCTTGATTGAAAACGTTAGAACTGCCCTTGTTATAGTTATTGTGGTTGTATTGAGATCCATAGATAGTATCAGATTCGTAGACAGGTTTGCTGCTGGGTGAAAAACCGCTAGTCATAGGTTTGAATCCTCCTGAATTAAATGAATTAAAATCTCCTCCAGCTGCTGTTAGGATGTCTGATGACGATTGAGAGTTTACTTGAGATGATAAATGTCCTACAGATCCAACTGGTATAGCCACAGGCTTGATTATAACCTTAGGTTCTTTACTAGAATCATCGTGAACATAGTGGTGATGAACGTGTTGTTGTACAACAGACTCCGATTTAATATTGTTGTTTCCTGAGGGTATTTTGTTGTAGGTTGGTTTTGAATGTTCAAAATTGTAGGGTTCATTGTTTGCAAAACTTGGTGGTTTTGTGACGTAATTAGCTTCATATCCATTAAACGAGCCACTGCTTTGTGAAAATTGATAGTTGTTACCGGCTACTCCATACTTCTCCGAAAATCCGGGACGTACATTTCCATATCCAGGCCTCTTTGATGGAATCTTCTGGGGACGTGGAGGGTACAGCATAGGCTTTGGGGGTCCATAAGCTCTTGGAGGTCCACGAATAGGTATGGAAGCGATAGGTTTGCCAATGGGCTTAATGTCAACGGGTTGAGCATAAATGAGTTCGTCTGGTGATAAAAATCTCTTTTCTTGAGTGTCATCATCTTCACACTAAAAGTAAAATATACACTTTATTATTAGGGTAAAAGCAAGTACTAAAATGAAATTTGTTTCAGTTACGAAAAAAGAAAAATGAGTTATTCACATAAACTTACTTGTATTAATCCCAAAGTACACAGTCGGCCCTTGATCAAATTTCTTGCTTCGCTATCGTCACCAGAGTCCAACGCTTCCTTGATAGTTGGGTCACTATACACATCGTCAAATCCGCTCAAACTTCTGCCTTGTTTATTGCTAACCAATTCATCTACGATATCATCAAGAACAGTTCCATTTGAATTGAAGTTTTTGTCTTGTGCATCTAACTCCTCGCCTTGCAATAGTTCGGTTGGTTTATCATTGGATGTCACATCTTTTTTGGAATCATCTCCACCCCATGACCAGTCTGCTGATGTACTCGCTATAGATAATAGCAGCACACAGAAACATGTAAACCAGCGCATGATCTGTAAAAAATAGAGTTGTTTTTGAATATATTTTATTTTAAAACACGATGAAGTAATCTTAATGTCGAAACATGAGGCGGAGAATCACTTTTACTTTCGCGGACATTCGTTATATAAGACTTTATAATGCGTCTCGTTCCAACTGTTCATGCTAGCGTGGTTGTTCGAAAGCATTTCGATGTTCACACATATCTAAAGAAAGTGACTTAGAGTCAAGCCTCAACCATTGCTTGTTAAATGTAATAAATTCAATTGATTGATGTCACTGTATGTTCGTTATGTCATAAAAGTATGATTGGGGTCAGTGTCGCTAAAATTCAGTACAACTGGTAATCGCCAACCGCCTCACGTTTCTACCGGTGCGTCATAATTTTTCGTAACAGTTGTGATGTAACGCGCGAATGTTTATTATTTTCTTTTATTTATGCAATACGTTACAGAATTTAAACCGGTTTTTTTAAATATTTACGATGATAAATATATTATAACACGTTAATAAATAATAATTCTCAATACATTGAGAAGAGAAAACGAAAGAAGATCTAACGCGTGAATTGAAAGTTTCCGAGTAAATTCATTGTCTTGTTGATAATATCTTAATATGTACCGCTCTGGGAAGTAAAAGTGTGATTTTTGAGATAACGCTCCTTAAATACTTATTTTTAAAATTAAACAATTATAAATATATTCACAAAAGTGGTTACATACGATATAAAAATATAAAAACAAATATCTTATTTAGAACATTTTAGTCTCGATTTTCACTTAAGAAAATCTTGTTTACATCTTATCGTTAATTGATAATCGAGATTTACAATTTGTTTTGTTTACAATTATACTATTATGACTATAAAAGATTTTTAAATAAATTATATTAATGAAAAAACTTGTTATGAAATATGCAAAAACTTACATTTTTTTAGAACACTTTCTTGTTTATCACTGTTAAAATGTCTTTAAGTGTTCACCACTCTACCGTCGCTGGGTTAGCGTTCGAATGACTGCCACTTCTACCTATACCCCGATTTATACTTCGACCAAGCTAAAGATGCATGCTGTTGGATTTTGTAAGATGATCTACACTGACTTCTACCAAGGTAGATTTTGGTGAGTTAGTCACTCGAAAACAATACAACCTTGTTTGAAAATAACGATTCGTGTTATAGTTTTGGTGTATTTTGGTAGGAGGCATGACGTTTGTATCGTCATTGATAATATCCATGCTTCATTCATGACTGTGTTCCAAGTATATTAGGCAATTGTGTCAATAATGAGGTCGTTTTGGCGGATCTTATATTTTTCCTTTTCATTATTATATTATCAAATAAATTTTTTAAATTTTTCTTTATGATTATTATCCGTACTATATTAATTGTGTTATGTATTATTACATATCGTTTCGAGTTATGTCGTTTTGTGAGTAACATAACCGAATACAATGTATTATTGTGACATAACGATGTCTAAGTGATTCCTATTATATATGTGGGTTATATCCTATGTATAAGGACATAACGACCGCAGAACTTTCACCGATGAGTTAATAAGGCTAACGTTATGGAGTATAATCCATTTATATATCTTCATATACATATATATAGAAAATCTTAAGGAATAATTAGTTTTCTTAATATTTGTATACTAGCAAACTATAAGTATTTGCCATCTCGTTTTATTGTACTATATTAAAAAGAGATGTCAATATTATTTAGAGCTCAATATTAAGATATTGTGCAGTTGAAACAAACGTTGAAAAGTAATTTAAAACACATGTGTTGTAGGTCGGACGACATACTAGTAAAAGAGTTTAACGAGCTCAGTTCTTGACAATAAGTGTAATAATCCTTTGAATAAATATTTATCTAATAAAATTGCTTATTTAAAGCATGATTTATCGAGTATTCCTTTGAACAAACTTTCCCTTTCATTATATTACTGGTATTGACCTGAGGTGTGTGAGAAAATATTTTGAATTTTACAACTTAATTCAAAATAAGCACATATAAAAACATAACCTTTTTTGTTCTTTGGGATAGCTGAAATAATTAAAATATTAAAATATTTAAATATATACATAATACATATAAATTATTGTAAATTAAACCTCGTTTGTCGGAACCTCTTTTCTATTAGTCATCATTCATTAAGTTGGCTTACAGTTTTCAAGGTCCAGGTCTTGGGTTTGTGAGATGCGTTTGCACAAGACGTGCTTTCCAGTGCAACACGAACCGGACCTAGCGAGCAACGAGTTGCGCAACGGTTCGATGAACTACATCTATGACTTGCGTATTGTTATCTTTGGGATGGATGGAAATTAACATCTTGTAGCATTTAGTGTTGCACATACCTTAATAGTCATAAGTCAGTGGTGACCTAGTGGTTAAAAGACCCACCTCTCATGCATGAGGGCGCGGGTTCGATCCTGGCAAGTACCAATGTGATTTTTCCGAGTCATATGTATTTTCTAAGAGTATTTAGACATCACTGATTAATGTATTCCCAAAGTTGTTGATGTCAGGCAGGCGGCCGGTCGTAAAAACAAATAGCCAAAAACTATTCACAACATGTAAGGCAGACCCTGGCTATAGCCGGGAAATTGCCAGGTAGAAGAAGATACCTTATGATATCAAAAGGCAAAAAGGCAGAATTTATTCATTCCTTTGTAAGGATGCTGGATGACAATTATTGGGCAAAATTTTGTATATTACAGTAATATTGGTAATGTGTTAGTCATATAGAAGTTATAGAAACAGTTTATACAAAGGATTTACGTTATCTTGTTGAAAAATTTAACACGTTTTGGGATTCATCATTTTATTTTCTTCCAAACATTTATATTGAATTGAATAGGGCATTGAAACATGCGATATTTGTAACGTTCAACTAAATTTTATGTTTATTTATATATTTTTAAGAGTCTTATCTTATCTATTCATTAAAGTTGCGATAGTTAACATACTTGGGTATTTGGAAGGAAATTAAAAGTGTTCTATTTTAGCTTCTTCTTTAAATATGTGACAATAAAAAACAGTAAATTAGTGGAACCTTCAAAGAATGATGTGTTTGTATGTAAACAGTGAATCAGCTATTATCAAATTCATTATCCGCATCAAATTATACGCTTTCTGCTTTACATGATACAGTAAATGTTAAATTATATATTATTATATACATATTTTCTTCTATTTTCTATTGTATATTCTTTTTGTCATAAAATTATATCATACATATGTACTTTTATAAGTAAGACTTAATGTTTCGATTCTATATAGTTGAGTTGTTTACTTCTTAGAATTGTTTACATCTGCTTCATCGTTACGTTACGTAACAGCTGCCGTTAACTATTGCATTACTCATTTCCACGTGAGATGGTCTATTAAAATCGGAGTCAATCACTCTTGGGAATGGTCAATAACCTTCCGGCTTTTGAAAGATTTATTTTAATGTACATATATACATACATATATAGTTTTATAGAGTATGCCATTTATGGATTACTTCCTTAATATGGTATACATTCATTTCTCAAAAATCGTTCGACTCGTTAACATTTTTTTTGAGGGGGAAATCATCACACAACCATTCTTGTCCTGGGCTTTGCAAAAAAGAGTTTTAGACTCTAACTGACTAAAAGCCTTCCGTACCTTCTCCTTTTCTGAGCCAGGCGGCGCGGCGGTACATCATTTCGCTTACACACGCAACCCGACTTGACATCGGCTCTAGTCCCCATCTGCGGTGGTCCAATTTCGTTTTGAGTAGCTCACGGTAGGCCACGTATTACCATGTGGCCAATATTTTGTACGCTTTATAAATATATAATAATATCATATTAAAAAAAAATGGGTATTTCTAATATTTTAGTCTTTTTGAAGAATTTTAATAATCTTTTTTGATAACAAACAATTATCGGACCGTTCAGAATATAAGTTTGATTAATCTTTGTAATATTGAGTTTTATTTCACAAAATCCTTATGGTGGTCCATAGTCATTATTCCATACTACATATAAAGGCGCGTCTTATATGAGCTCAGTTTTTTAGAATTATTAAAATAACGGACTGTGCTGTTGAAAAATTGCAATGATTATGTTAATTATCTTGTAATTATGGGATTTTTTAGCTTTAAGAATGATAATAAAGAGAAAAAACTTTTATGTAATTTTCCGTACAAGTATTTCGATATTTTATGTCATTGTTAAAAAGTAAAACGAGTTAAATATTTTCGGATGCAAAATTATATTGTATATCATAAATATGACTTGTCATTAATTAAAATTAAATTGTATATATTAAGAATCCAATAATACATATATAAAATTCTTAAATTTATATTACTATGTTATTCAGGACAGGAAAAATTGCATATTTATTGGACATTACTAACAATAGCGTGTTTGAATTGGTCAAATTGCTGATAAATCAATTTTGCAATCCAAATGGGTTTCCCGAACCGCTTCTATTGCAACTCGTACGGAGGCCACGCGAGCCTTATTGGATGGACAAAAATCATGGAGTCGACTTTAGCTATAATAAAAAAATTACCAAGCACTAATTTATTATTATTAAAAAGGATTATATATATAAAATTTAAATTTGAATGTTAAGAGTATAATTTATTAACATAAATGAAATATATGAATGTACGTTTACTATTTTATAAGAAATCCAGCTAATCCCTATACGATGATTTTCAATTAGGGTTTTTTAACACTAAATATATGTCGTTGTTATTCGCCAACAATATGTCCATCCATAAATATATAATGTAAAATTTCATAGCAAATATTTTAATCTATTTTATAATCTAATATGCTCAATGGATTCTTTGTTTCATTGTACCGATGACCCAGTTTCGACCGATTCACGCTACAACACGCAACGCTGGGCTTCCCTGTCCCTGCCAAGGTTCCAGACTGGATACTGAATGGGTTTTTACGTTTATAATGGGATATGATTGTTTGTTATTTACAGTCAAAAGTACTTCTAAAGGGAGGTCATGACTGATGTATCAAATGTTTTATTGTATGTAAAATACTTATGATAGTAGTATGTAGTAATAAAAATGTTGACTGAAGTAGAAGAATATATATATGTTTATACTTGGGTATATTAAAATGTTTTAGGCTTCTCGCTATTTAATTACTTACGACCAACAATATAAACACACAAAACAAAATATATACACGCTAGATATTTAATTATGAATATCTTATTTAGTAAAAATCTAAGTTTTTGTGACTTATTATAAGTAGGTATATAAAAAAAATTCGTAATATACCAGTTATATACGAGGATAAAAATTTAGGTTTGTCTAACAACGCCATCTTTAATGACCAAATGAAATGACAAGAAGTTATAAGTTATGTAAAGCTACAAAAAGTTGAGTCTTTGGGAGGCTGTTCATTGTGTGATTTTTATGAACATCAAAAGAGGGCGTTGTTTTCTATTTCAATGTAAAAAATATTGGGAGGGTGAAATAAAGAAATAGGGGTGAAGTTTTCATTAAATTTAAATGTGTTACTTAAAAATGTATCTTTGGTAAGTGACGTTTAAGGAAAATTACTTCATGAAAAATTAAAAAAACTTTTTAAAACTTTGTACAACCTTGTTCTTAACGCTCGCAACTGTTATTATGGTAAATTGATTTAGAAATAACTGAAGTAACATATTTAGTTCAATCGATTATCTGTTATTTTTAAACATATATTTTATTGTTATATTAGATAGGTATCTGATAGAAATACCTAAAGAACAATGGTACACATAGAATTGGTCATCAAGTGCTTTATTTTGGTTTGTTACTTAACAGAAAACGTGAATAAATCATAATTTTGTATAATTTGAGAATGTTGGTCTATTGAGTGTCTGTTTTATGAGAGTGAGAAAGTCAATATAATTTTTAAAAATTTTAATGCTGTCTTAGATTTTTTCCTGTATTCATTTGAATGAATCTTGGATATCGGATAATGTTTTTCGGATACTATACGTTTTTTAAATATTTTATAACTAAGTACATAATAATAAACTTTATAGCAATGAACAAAGCAAACGACAGTTGCTGTAAAGGAATCGAAAGGTCGAGATATTGTTAGAAAATAATAAAAAACTCGTATGGAAAAAATCACTTTCGTTAACAATTTTATTTGGAATCTACTAGCTTAAAACTAATTACATAACATGATTCTCAAAACAACAAGGGTGACACTTAATACGACCTTACACTTAACAATACCCTTCGTATAACCATGTTTCAAATATCTTATAATTATTTTACTTACACAAAGTAAAGGCGTAATAAGTTTAAATTTTTCCTATTCATACTTTTAGGTTAAATAGAAGACGAAAGTTTTATCGGTTTACGAGTACATACTTGTCAAATTTAAACATTAGATAGGCTTATTGTTATATTTTAATATCAATATTAATACATTTATTTAAGTGAAGGAAATTCGTTACCTCAGTATTAAAGGTTAGTTTGTTCTTATAATTACAAGAATATAGAGAGAAAAATATGAATTTAATAACGTTCTCGTTGAAAAAAATATTACAGCGAAAATAAGTAGGACATGAAATTTAAGACGAAATACATTATGACATCTAAGATATTCGCGAGTATACATTTAAATAAAACTAATATTTTTGGATTACTACGCGTTTTTTTATTATTTTGGACTTTTGGTTATTTAGCAGTTTTTGGTTATATTGCAGGGATAGTGATCAAGGTCAGATGAGATGTGAATGTTTGTCAATTGGTCTTGTTATTTGTCATTTACCACCAACAATTTCTTACTGCCCTGGGGTACTACTGGATGTAAAATACATTATTCGTTAGTATTTTTTAATGTTATTAACAATTACATAAGTGAAATGTTTGTATTATGTATATAAATTACATCTTTGATTGTTTGTTGACTGTTTTAATTGAATTAATCATAGTTGGTATTTCAAAACTGATAAAACCTTTATACTCTCTAGGTAGATAGCATAAAATTTATAAAGTAATTAACGTACAGAACAAAACAACAAAGTCATGATTATATAATTAAATATTGTTACATAATTAGTCGCTGTAGGCTGTGATTGTCTGTTGTTTATTGATATAGAACAAACATTTTTTTATATCTTATATATAAATACATATCTTAATGTTATGCAAATTAGTAATTTAAAACTCGTAATTAAAACAAGGAAAAGATTATAATTAAAATTAGTTTGAAATGTTCGTCCGGTTTTGTTCATCCGTTTATTGATAAAGTTGAAATTTAAATTATAAATAACATAATAAAATTTACTAATAATATGTAAATTAAGAACCGACAACTCAATAAGATAACAAAATAAGAACAAGATGAATTGGAATTAGCTTTTGGATGTTTACATGCTTTGTTTGTCTCGTTTCTGTTAAGGATTAAAATATTTAAAACTTTTGTATGTAATTAAACGACAAGTTTACAAAAACACTCATACTCATTTATATATGTATATACGTAATAATTATGATTAACTAAAATGAAGTAATTAAAATATTTCACGGCTTTATATGGAGTAAAGTTTCAGTCAATGCTACTGAGCACTGATAGTTTAATAAGTAAATTAATTAAATGTTCGAAGTAATGTTTTAAAATCATATTCTTTTTATTTGCCGATTGACAAAATAAACACTAAAACTTGTTGTTTCTGATACTGGCAAAAACAAACGTACAGACAAACAGACAAAATTATATCTTTGTTTTAAGTTCTATCAGCGTTGAAAAAGTCTTCATAATATTTTTTCTTTCTGTACTTAAAGTAAGTTGTATTAAAGGGTAAAAAGTACGTTTTATTCACATATGATAACTGTGGGTGTTTATTTAATTTAATTGATGCTTCACTGATTAACGTAATATATAACACATATATACAGACTATATATGAGCAAAACTGTGAGATATATAATATTATAAATGTCAATTGATCATTAATTAGTATTACATAAATTATATAAGTTGATCTTGAACTTTACAAGTGGTTATGAGGTGATATTTTGGACCCTAATGTCTATTTTATTTAATAATAATTCCTATAAATACCCTGTCTATTAAAATTTTCGCATCAGTGTTTGGCAATTTCTTAAACAGTCATCGTCTCTATCCTCAAACCGTAGTTAAAATGAGAATCTTTCTGGTGTCATTGCTGGTTTTTACAGCTTCTGCATTCCCTAGTGATTATCAAAAGGATGTGAAGTTATCGGATTCAGGCCATGCCAGCAAAAGATCGTTGAATCATGGCGCCGTCGTAATTGAACCTGCTACATTCTACTCCGGGCCTGTTCTCCATTCCGTTCCAGCCAGCGTCATTGTACCATCCCCAGCAGTATCCCATCAATCTCGCAAAGACGTCCGTACATCTGAAACCCTAGTATCAGTTTCACCTGTGGCTTCACCGGCTTTAGTTCGAGTTTATCAATCACCGTCCGTCTATACAGTTCCTGTTCAAAGTCGTCTTGGAGCATCTGCAGTATCTCACCAATCACGAGTGGATTCCAAGTCTTCTTCAGTAGTGCTATCGCCTCTAGTTGTTGAACCTCAACCTGTATTGCACACAATTGTTCAAGACACACCTGTTGTTGATGTTAACTCTGTTTATACCTCTTCATCCTTATATCAACCGAGTGTTTACGCTGTGACGTATTAATAAAGGTGATAAGTTATTATAACGAATACCTGGTTTGTTTGACAACTTAAAATAATGAAATAAATCTTTTTAATCATTCCTAATTGCATTATTTTTCCGTTTTTTTATATATTGCAAGTGTTTTGTCGCATAAGGGTATAATAGTTTTTAAAACCTTCTTAAAGTGTATATTTTATAAAAAAAACAAGTACGGATTTACGTCATGTATATCTAATAAGAGGTCTAATTTAATTTACTTTATATATTTTTTTATTTAATGAAATAGAATGTTGTTTTTATTCTTCTCTTCTAGTATATTTTTATCAAAAAAAAAATAGTTATTTCTTTGATAAAAAGGGATTCAATAATATATATTTTTTTGATTTTCTATTTAAAATGAATTGTCAGAAGAGCTGTTTGCTAACCATGAACTAATCGAATGGTGCCATAGGCATGAATTATGTATGGAGTGAACCAGAACAAATTCAAGTTAAGCTTTCAGATAGTACTTTTTCTTCCCCAGTAATATGTGATGTCTGATAAAATATAGTGGAAGTTTGAATAAGAAATTGTTGTGTTATTTGTTCGATTAGGTTACCTGAATAATAGATTCTTTGATTTTTCGATTTTTTATTCATAAATATTTTTTTTTTACTTATATTTTTTGCATATATAACCTAGTAGTCCGTCAGAGGGGCTCTTCACCAACCATGAACCGAATGACCGGCTCCATGGGCAAGGGGTGCGCCAAGAAGGGCGGAGTGAGCGAGGGGAGCGGAGATGACGCTGTGAGCTACTGGAGCTACATGAGCGACGACAGCTGGGCTGGAGCGGACATCCACACGAGATTGATGAGAGATTGCGGCAGGAGCAATAGCGTGAGCAACTACTGGAGCGGCGACAGCGTGGGCGAGGACGGGTGCTGCTACGGCGTGGGAAACAATAGCTGGGCTAGATACAACATCCACACGAGACTGATGAGAGACGGCAGATGGAGCGATGATGGGGGCGCTGTAGGCAATGTGTCCCAGGGAACGCTTCTTGAGGTAGTGTCCGTGTCCGGCGAGACCGTAAGCAGAGTGTCCCAATAGAGGAGCATATGCGGCATGAGCGGAAACGACCGGAGCAGCGTGAGCTATGATGGCAGGGCTTGAGCGAACGTCCACACGGGATTGGTGAGATACTGCTGCAGGTGCGATGGCGTGAGCGACAACTGGGGCGGCGACGGCGTGGGCAAGGACGGGTGCAGCAACTGCGTGTGACACAACAGCGGGGCTAGATACAACATCTACACGAGATTGGTGAGAGACGGCAGCGGGGGCGATAACAGGAGCACTGTAAGCAATGTGTCCTAGAGAGCGCTTCTTGAGGTAGTGTCCGTGTCCGGCGAGACCCAGGGCTGAGTGACCCAAGTAAGGGGAGGCATAAGCGGCAACCACAGGAGCGGCGTGAGCTACGAGGGCTGGGCTGTGGTGAACATCCACTCGAGATTGATGAGACACGGCAGCAGGGGCGGCGACCACTGCAGGGGCAACGACTGCGGCGTGAGCAACTGGAGATATAACTGCAGCGTGGGCAAGGGAAGAGTGTTCCAATGCCTTGGCTTGAAGGTGAAGGGCGCGGGCATTAACTACTTCAGCTGTATCCAGCGGCCGGCCGTGGGGATCCAAAACCAACGCAGCGTGGTTATAGGGCTGCACCAAGGGTACAATGGACCCGCAGGCCACGGTAGCTAGAGCACATAACACCACCAGCGTATTCATTTTGTACGTGGTCTGTGTTTCGTCTGACGACTAAGATCACTTCAACCTTTAACGGGCGACTGATAATTTTAAGTCAGCCCCAAGAATATTTATAGTGAATGTTCAAAATAAAAAGTAAGGCAACTTCCGTGAGCAAATCAAAGGTAAAGACACTGTCACCTGTCATTTAAATTGATAATAATTAATAACCTTGCTAAGCCTCGGTCATTCCTTGAAAAGTATTTAGTTCAAAATATATGTGTATTTAGGACCATATCAAATTTGATATATAGTGGTTTTTAAAATTTTAGAACCTCTATATTTTTTAAATATTATATTTATATTTAACTTCTTAAATATGATTCATGTTATTATTTAAAATGTATTCTAATTTAATTTTAAGGTATTTTTTTAAATAAAATTTATTTACATAACATATTTACTAATTTTCAAATAGAAGAAGATGCTGTATTTAATATTTGGCATGAAGAGGTGTTAATATTTAATAATATAAAAATAGAGAATTGACTTAAAAACTCTGTAAGGTGTACATCCACTACATAGAAGACACAACTCCATGGGTAATTGAATATGATCCTAACAGATTCTTCAAAGTCAGACATCACATTAAAAGGCTTTTACAAAAAGTAAATAAAACTACACGTACGAGAAATAACAAATAATTACTCCGATGTTTGTGAACTTAAGAAAGACAAAAATTTAATATTATATAATTATTGATTCAATAATTATAGACTTAACTAACTTTTAATTGATATGTTGGAATTACAACTTGTACTACTTTTACCGTTTTTTAAATATTGAAAGGTAAAGTTCTTGAAAATATAGTTTGGTTTTCCCTAAGAAAAGTTTATGTCATAATTTTTTTATATACAATATACTATCATTTATTTTTCACATGCATGTGAGTAAAAGTAAAAGACACAAGGTTTATTAGTCTTTTTAATAATATTTGACATTGTGTCTCCGCTCACCCATAAATTATAAACCGTACATGTAATAAAAATTTAAGAAATATCATTCCTATAATTATACAAAATACGTAGTATGTTTGTTTGAAAAATAATTATATGGTGATTGCTTTCTGTACAAAATAAAACAGTAAATTTTATTATCAACAGTATTTTTTGAGTCCCACTTCTATATTTGTTCTTGTACAGAAATACTGAATTTATTAGATAATGTACACATTTTAATATAACTATTTTCGTAATCAAAATACGTATAAAAATATTTTCTTACTCATTTCATGTAACAAGATAAAAAGGTGATTGTCGAGTACACTCTTCTTCTTCTTCCTAGCAATCTCAAAGCTTTAGCTAGGGTCTGCCTCACCCAGGGTCTGCCTTCTATTTAAAAGAAAATGCAAAAAGTATGCGTTGATTTAAAAATAAAAGAACCAGTGTGCTGATCACACGACTGAAGTAAAACTTCTTTCGCTTCATCTATATGTAATAAGTATATGCATATATTTACATATGTATAATACAGACATGTATATACATATACACATATTAATTTTGTACAAATAGATACTTAAATTCATTATGGGCTATCATTCATAAATTAATATTTTGAATAGATATGTCATTTTATTTATTATTTGCATTATATTTATCATCGGAGATATCAGTAATTACTTTGGTTGATTGTAAGACCAAAACAATAGGAATATGATATGAGAAAAAAATATATATATTCGAATGAAAATTAGAAAGATATCAAGATGAAAACTGCATTAATAGTTGTTCCATGTTTTGTGGTAGACTTATTTTGGTTATTATTTATACGTAGTTCTTTGTAGATAGCTTGACTTGTGAATTTGTTTCCTTTGATCATCATCGTAGAAGAAATAATCATCACTGATGTCTCTAGGAAGTTGATTCACCATTGTATCCACAGATAATTGCACATTAATAATCTGGTCATCAATACCAAATTGCCCATTTACATGCCGTAGTTTTCGTATCTGCATAAATGGGAGATTAGGAGAAATAAATAATTTCAAAACTAAGTAAAGTTTTGGTAAATGTGTAGGAATTTTGGGATATTCAAATATATTGTACGTCAATATTGGAATATTGTTTTGTCAAGAGCATCTTACAAATCGAATAAATCATTGCATCTTTAATGTTCTTGATATTCTGGAAAGTATAAAATTTATGTTTGTTAATTTTCTTTACAGTGATGAAGTTTGTGTATACTTCCATATTATTTCAATAATATATAATATTATTTCTTCCTTCAACAGATCTTCATAATTGTCACATGCCTTTTTTAAATCATTTTATACCACAATCTATTACATGAATAACCAAATGGATTTTTCCGGAATTTTCAACCGAAATTTTCATGAGTCTTTTAATGTTTTGTAATATCATTGTACTTCAAAGGCATAGTTGAATCGTGGAGTGTGTGAAATGGAGTGTGTGTGTGTGTGTTCGTGAATTTCCTCTTCTAGTTAGCTCTGCGGATCCTCCTCCTCTTCCTGGCAATTTCCCAGCTTTAGCCAGGGTCTGCCTTCCTACACAAACGCCTCCACTTTGCACGGTCTAGTTAGCTCTGCGGATATGCTGTTTATTGTTGATGGACCAGCCCTTTGATTTACTTGTGATATCATTATCACAAGTAAATCAAAAGTGCTAATCATATCATTTAAATTTTGATCACTTTGCTGCTTCGACAGTATTTTCTTTGCCTAAAGAAAGGAAATGGAGATAAAAAATTTACAAGCCTTCAATGGCGTAAATTTTATAAATAAAAATAAATTAATATTTATATTAATAGTCTCACTAATGCCTTTTTATCTCTCTCTTAATTGCCTTGTTGCTTCTGCAAACTTTGCTCTTTTTAAAATTGGGCTGAGAAAATATAGACAAGGAAAAAGTCATTTATTATTATTATCAATTGATTGGTTCTCACTAGGTTTAAAATCTTGACTTGAATATGTTGTCACATACTTTTTATGCACAATTTCCGTACATACGTAATTTTTTATTAGGCCTTGAGCACTGCTTTCATAATCAAAATCTATGTCACTTCCTGTCATAATTTGTTACCATTTTTTACTATTTTTTTATTCACACAATATGAACTTTGAAATGAATTTAAAATTTTATTCACGGTAGACGTAGAATATTTAATGTATAAAACAAAGTACTAATAAAAAAATATATTCTAAATGAAATAACAAAAGAACAAAATAAATCACGTTTTAATTTAATAAAATTTCAAGTGAAAAAGTTGAAAACGTTAACGTTAGAAAATATTTTTATCACATATCAATTTGCAATGTACTTGTTTAATAATAGTAATTGGTAATTGTCTATTATTTATAATTTGATAAATTGACTGGACATTAAAAATGGAATTTGGTAAAATTTTGCTGAATTTTCTTTATAAATTTTCTTTATAAATTTACGTGTCATATACGTGTTTTATTCGGAGAATAAAATCCATGTTTCAACAATTAACAAATAGACATGATGTTTTAATTAAAAATAATTATAAAAGAGTTGATAAAAAGGTCCTGAATAAATCGTATAAATATAAATTATGTTCGGAAAATAAGCTGAAATTGAAATATAGAATGAAAAATTCATCAACACGAGAAGGATGCGAATCTTCAATCTCCAGAATATTAATATTTGGTTGCTTTACCATTTAAACTATAGTGTCTTGATGTAGGAAAAACATGATTAGGATATTAGTAAAAAAATCTCACAGAGAGCATCTCCATCACAGGGCCACGGTTAAATATACACCTATGTAGATAATTGAAAGTGTTTGTCACATTTTGATTTAGTTATTTTAGAAATACAGAATATGTTACAAAAAATTTGATAATATTACATTATCTGATATTGAGTAATAAGCATACTTCATATTGAAACCTCGTGGGAAAATATTTTGCCTGCATTCCATGAACGACATAATATTAATTATTAGTCTTGCGATGTATTGGTAAATTCTTGACACGAGAGGTCGTAATCTCTTATAAGATTTGTAAAGCGTTTTTATAATAGCAGTCTTCTATTAAATAAATGTAGATTATTGAAAACCCTAACCCAAAATTTTGCTGGATATATCGATTTAGTTACTGCTAATTACTTTTAACAAACGTTTCATAGCCAGATGTCATAAAGCTCGAATCCAAACATATTGATGAACTAAATATGAAAATAAATATTTTGATTAACGTTGTATTTCACTTAAAACGTCACAATAGTATAATAATAATCATTAATAAAGCTAAGGATAATTTAGAACTACTACTCCTGTTCTTATTACTAAATCAGATTTAAATACTTTAAATTATAATACTTCCACATAAAAAAGATGGAATTTTAATGAGCAGGGTAAATGAAAAAAAATATAATGATATTTACATTTTATTATAAATATATTATAAAAAGTGTCGTTTTTTATCAATTCTATCTATTATCTATTAGTTCGTCAGAGGGGCTCTTCACCAACCATGAACCAAATGGCCGGCTCCATGGGCAAGGGGTGCGCGAAGAAGGGCGGAGTAAGCGAGGGGAGCGGAGACGACGCTGTGGGCTACTGGAGCTACATGAGCGACGACAGCTGGGCTGGAGCGGACATCCACACGAGATTGATGAGAGACTGCGGCAGGAGCAATAGCGTGAGCAACTACTGGGGCGGCGACAGCGTGGGCGAGGACGGGTGCTGCTACGGCGTGGGACACGACAGCTGGGCTAGACACAACATCCACACGAGACTGATGAGAGACGGCAGATGGAGCGATGATGGGGGCGCTGTAGGCAATGTGTCCCAGGGAACGCTTCTTCAGGTAGTGTCCGTGTCCGGCGAGACCGTAAGCAGAGTGTCCCAAAAGAGGAGCATATGCAGCATGAACGGAAACGACTGGAGCAGCGTGAGCTATGATGGCAGGGCTTGAGCGAACGTCCACACGGGATTGGTGAGATACTGCTGCAGGTGCGATGGCGTGAGCGACAACTGGGGCGGCGACGGCGTGGGCAACGACGGGTGCAGCAACTGCGTGAGACACAATAGCAGGGCTAGATACAACATCTACACGAGATTGGTGAGAGACGGCAGCGGGGGCGATAACAGGAGCACTGTAAGCAATGTGTCCTAGAGAGCGCTTCTTGAGGTAGTGTCCGTGTCCGGCGAGACCCAGGGCTGAGTGACCCAAGTAAGGGGAGGCATAAGCGGCAACCACAGGAGCGGCGTGAGCTACGAGGGCTGGGCTGTGGTGAACATCCACTCGAGATTGATGAGACACGGCAGCAGGAGCGGCGACCACTGCAGGGGCAACGACTGCGGCGTGAGCAACTGGAGATACAACTGCAGCGTGGGCAAGGGAAGAGTGTTCCAATGCCTTGGCTTGAAGGTGAAGGGCGCGGGCATTAACTACTTCAGCTGTATCCAGCGGCCGGCCGTGGGGATCCAAAACCAACGCAGCGTGGTTATAGGGCTGCACCAAGGGTACGATGGACCCGCAGGCCACGGTAGCTAGAGCACATAACACCACCAGCGTATTCATTTTGTACGTGGTCTGTGTTTGTCTGACGACTAAGATCACTTCAACCTTTAACGGGCGACTGATAATTTTGACTCGCCTGCGTGGATATTTATAGTGAATGTTCAAAATTAAAAAGTAAGGCGATTTCCGTGAACAAATATAGAGCTTAAACAACGTGAGTTGTAAATAATAAGAACAACCTTGCTTGTGACTCATTTATTTCGTGGTTAGTGTATGGCGGACGTCATATGTAAATTATCTATTAAAAGTAATTATATTTTATATCTGAATGTATGGGAAGAAGAACTTATCTGAAAAGTTATAAATCAACCATTCTAGCTTAATTTTTTGTAAAATTATATATGCAACAAGGTTAATTGTTGTTAAATTGACCTTGACATTGATATTTTAAGTACCTTCTTTAGTTGTTCCCGTAAAACAGGTTTATAAACTATTATTTTTTTTATGTAATGATTTTAAATCACATATGTATGTCGCAAATTGTTACAGTTTTCCTAAGTATGTACACAAAACGGTGCTTATATTTACTTTAAATCAAATAATGATAATTATTCGTTGAAAGACAGGAAATAGTATAGATTAAAAATTATTTATAATGTTCTACTCTCTACTAATGCTTGTTTAGAATTATGTTCTATTATGAGTAGTTTATATAGTCTATACTATGTAGAATGATCCCTTAAAATGAAGGAATTAGTAGTAGACGATTTTTTTATGTACCAATTAAGTCTCGTGTAAATTTTATGCATTTCAAAGTCAACACTAAGTTGTGACATTGAAAAATTACTATCGTGTGTTTCTGTTGAATATAAATTTATATAAATATTGAAATACAATTTAGATTTACAGGATTTTATTTGAGTCTTTATTTACATCAAAATATTCAATACACGAATTAAGTTTAGTAGGTCATTTTCTGTTTCGTAATTGTTTCGTGGCATATATTTTGCAAATTTACAAATACCGTGACCGTGAGTACATCGCTCACTTAAAAAATGTTTTTTTGTTATCTTATATATCTAATTATAGAATTTTTTGCAAAGATTATTCTATATATATGTTTTTAAAATGTGAAAGGTTTTTAGATCAAAGTTAAATATAATTTAATGTACAGTTCTAAAATACACTGTTATTTGCACACACTGTGGTAAATGAGTACTCAAAACGCAATTATTATTCTTTCCTGATATTTTTCGTATGTATTTTTTTGATTACGTACTCTCTGTAACTAATCTATATACATATATAAAAATGAATTGCTGTTTGTTAGTCTCACTAATACTCGAGAACGGCAGAACGGATTTATCTTACCTTAGTCTTGAAATGTTCGTGGAAGTTTAGGAAAGGTTTAAAAGCTGAAAAAATTTATTAATTTTTGGGAAAACCCTAAAACAGCCCTTTTCTATTTCCCATAAAAAGGTTTTATTGACATTAGATTTGACAACAAAATAATATGTCAATCATTCTGTTCGTTTGAAACAGGAAACATTTTTTAAATACCATTAGGTAATTGGTTATTTAAGACGGAATAGAGTTCGCCCGGTCAGCTATACATATATTACTAATGGCGAAATTAACGCGGGTGAAGTCACGGGCAAAAACTAGTATAAAATAAAAAGGAATAAAGAAATACTTATTCATCTAATGATATCGCCGATATTTAAAAGGGATAACTGATCTGGTACATGGGTTTGTTTTTGAATTGTCTTGTATAAGTACCTAATTATAGTTGTTTCGGATGAATTAAAGGCAACAATTTTTAATATTTTTTTACAAAATACAATAATCTGCCTAAAATAATATATCTTATACCTAGTCTAAATAATATATCTTATACCTAGTCTAAATGTGTATATATGCTTAAATGATATTTATCTCTAATTAGAAAAGCAATTACACGTTCTGATTGTTATTATTATTCAATATTTCTATTTCAAAAATGAAAAACAATTCAAACAAGGAAGTTTATTTACCCGACTTGCCAAAAAAAGGAAACATTTTTTTTAACTCGGGTGTGTAATGAGGACTCCTTGTTAGAAAATCTATTTGTGAAAAATTATACTATATGTCTATAGGAATAGTAAAATTAGAAAATTCTGACATACAATAAAGCTTCATATGAATTTACACAACTGTGCAATAAGTTTTTTTAGAAACAGAAGTTTTAAAACACAATTCATACGATCATAATACCAAATGTATCATGAAGCGTCAACTTAATTTGCGACGCATTTTCTAGTTTTATAATGCAATTACGATGAATGTCCGGTATTTAAATTTTAATGAATTCCAGTACGTTTTGGTTGTATTGTCTCGGAGACCTTGCTTAAAGGATTAGTAGATAAACTTAAGAACTAGAATTATTCAATTGTTTATTGAAACTAATCCTGTTATAGTACAAAACATTATTTAAATATAAATTGAATAGCTAATCAATAAAGTAATTGATGAATAATGTATGGGCTGGATCAAACCAAAATTAAATTAAGCTTTTTGGTACTATTTTTTAAGGCACTGAAATATGTATTGCTGAAAAGAGATGAGTTACTATTTAAACTTTGTATGAGTTATTTTGCGTTATTCCCTAAATTTTGGCTTCTGAATGATAGATTCTTTGATTTTCTTACTTTTTTATTTATAAATATATTTTTTTTACTTTTATATTTTGCATATTTATAGCTAGTAGTCCGTCAGAGGGGCTCTTCACCAACCATGTACTAAATGACCGGCTCCATGGGCAAGGGGTGCGCCAAGAAGGGCGGAGTGAGCGAGGGGAGCGGCGATGACGCTGTGGGCTACTGGAGCTACATGAGCGACGACAGCTGGGCTGGAGCGGACATCCACACGAGATTGATGAGAGACTGCGGCAGGAGCAATAGCGTGAGCAACTACTGGGGCGGCGACAGCGTGGGCGAGGACGGGTGCTGCTACGGCGTGGGACACGACAGCTGGGCTAGACACAACATCCACACGAGACTGATGAGAGACGGCAGATGGAGCGATGATGGGTGCGCTGTATGCAATGTGTCCCAGGGAACGCTTCTTCAGGTAGTGTCCGTGTCCGGCGAGACCCAGAGCAGCGTGTCCTAAGGGTGCAGCATATGAGGCATGAGCGGCAAGTACTGGGGCAGCGGCAATAACAGGAGCAGCGTGAGCTACGATGGCAGGGCTTGAACGGATGTCCACGCGGGATTGGTGGGATACAGCGGCAGGGGCTGCGACTAATGCGGGAGCAGCGACGACGGCTGGAGCGATGACAGCAGCATGTGCGGCGGGAGCTACGATAGCTGCGTGGCTAAGGTGGGCTGGTTCCAGGGCTTTAGCTTGTAGGTGTAAAGCGCGGGCATTGATCACTGCAGCTGTATCTAGGGGCCGTCCATGAGGGTCCAGAACTACTGCTGGTGCATGAAGGGGTTGTGCCAAAGGTCCCAGAGGCACGATGGAGCCGCAAGCCACAGCGGCGAGAGCAAAGAACACCACCATCGATTTCATTATGAACGTGGTCTGTGTTTGTCTGACGAACGAGATCACTTCAAACCGTGCACGGCCGACTGATAAATTCGAATAACACTCAACCTTATTTATACTGAACGGATATAATTAAAAAGTAAGGCAATTTCTGTGGGTAATTGGACTGTAATGCTAGAACAATGTCTGGTGTCAATAAAATGTGCGACCTCGGAGCATGTGGCGGTCATAACCAAAGAATTTCGTGGTCACATAAAGTTGTGCGCAACGCACATACTTCTCGTCCGTGTAGAGATACCATCGGTTACTTAACGCATTTATAAAATAATATATTTAAAGTGCATGAACGTGTTTTGTATTTTAAAATATATATATCAAAAATTTGTGCAATATTGCAATCAGCGGAATATAAAATGTGTTCAAATTTAATGGATTTCAAAATATTTTGTTGCACGGTTGTTTAAATTCAGGTTTTGCTAATAAGCTATTCTATAATTCGACTAATAGTATATTTGTTGTGAATAGAAAGGCAGCATAGTTTAGTAACTGGCACCTGGTGTACACAAAGAAAGGAATCGGCCAGTTAACATAGCCACCAAGCTCAAAGGTAGTAAATTTAGGTCCGTGATAAATAGCATGTTCTTTCTGCCCTTATAACCTCTTTTATTTTGTTTTGTTTATATACTCAATTATAGATTTTCAACTAAGGACAAAGTTTAATGTTATTAATTACTAAGTAAAGAATATTTTTTAAAAACTTTCAGCAACTGTCAGCCACAAACTATCATGAAATTTAAAAAGCAATAAATAAGTGGCAAAATTTATAGTCTTACCTCATTTTATATTAAATTATTTGTATATTCGTAAATATAAAAAATACGGAACACAATTATTTTAACGAACAAAAATTGAAGCTGGAATAATATTAATTTATTAAATTTAATCATTGTTATAACAATATATTGTCAATGAATTCTTGCCGGATGTGAAAGGGCAGTGGGCGTGATCCAAAGGATCTGATTGCAAGAACCAGTCGACAAAGTTACTCAATTATACATAGCTTAAAATTGACAACGCAAGCAAAATTCTAAAGTACTTTAGGCGTTTAATCTAGAAATCGAATTATTTAGATATATACGCAAATATAGAATAAAAGGTCGGAGTCAATGACCTTATTAGGTGGAAAGCCTTTAGGCTGTCAGTTCTATATCCGTAAACAAACGATGCCTACATGTGACTAGAACGAACGACCTCCATAATGTATTGAACTAGATTAGATAAAAAAAAATATTATAAACCAATCGTTATGATTTTTATGAGAACCGTAGCTACTATATCAATTTTGGAACAGTAACTTTTTATAAATTTATTCCTATTTTTTATTTGAATTTCTATGTATATAAAAAAAGGTTTTATTTACATTTGTTCTATACATTTTTAAATCAATTTAAATTTAAAACTCATAACCATTACATATTAATTTCGAATATACATATATTATTCTTTTTTATATTTGCATCTGTGTCTAATTTCATGAAATGCGTAAAATATATATTCATTTCAAGTACATGTTTACTTTTAAAAGCAAACTTCTTTTACTTATAAAAACGAAACTATTATTGCTGCACATGGAGTGTACTAGAATATTATTACCCAGTACTTACCAATTTTCTCAAAACGTCATTTTTAACGTATGACAATACAATTTAAATAATGAATTTTTAAGGTAGTAGAATCTAGCTGTGAACAGTTACTCGAATATGGTGGGATTTTACCGGGGAAGTACCACCCTATCACAGAAGATCGGTGTCAAGTAGCCTTTAATGATGAAGAGTGACAGAACCGGTTGAACTTTTTCTGTTTCCACCTTTTCCTTCCATTTCCTTATTCCCTCTCTTCAATCTTCCTTAATGACTAAGGCAAAGCATCCGCAACAGAAGATATGTTACGAATGTCTACGAATATGGGCGACGGTGACTACTGCCCACTAAGGAGGAAATCTGCTGGTTTGCCACCTTTTTCATGAAAAAAGAACTCTGTGTTTATTAATTTTGCCTAAATCTTGAAGTTTGACCTCAAGCCCTGTTATTAAACACTTATCAACAATTTCTGGGGTGTCTAGAGATATCGCAATAGCCAAAGGGAGTGTTTTGTGTTAAGCCAATCACTATATAAATCTTAACTTCCATTTACTTTGATAATAAATAAGACCAGTGCTTAATAAATGTTTTGTAAGTGATAAAATTGAATATGTAAACTATGCTTTAATATTTCGAAACATAAAATAATAAAAGAAGTCTAAAATTTTGACTTCAGTTCTCTGTTTAAATAACAATATATTAAATACTACAATACTATAAAATAAAAGAACAATGAGTTCCCTGGCACATAAATATGTACCAATAAACAAATAAAAGGGTTTTCAAATGCTTAACTTCATCATATTAAACACCTCCCATTTCATCAGAGACATTGAGATTTCTAATAAAAATCATTCAACTAGTGTCCAATTTCCTTCGGATCAGTACTACATAAAAGGGTCTATATTCATGAGGTCGTTGCCCTCACGTGAACTCGGCCTTGCATACAATAGACAATCATTAATATTGATAAATTTGAGGCTTTTAAACACTTTTTAGTTCGAAACCTGTGTAAAATGAGTAATTATGATTCATTCAGCTATATAAAAGCATCAATTACCCGCTAATGATAGTCAGATAGATCAAATCAAAATAGTCTTACAAAACAACTACGATTTATTATTTTTTTCTTTGGGGTTGTTAATCCCTGATTATATAGCTCAGAATACTGATAAAGTAAAGTTGATAGCCTTGTCATATTTGTAATAACATACAATATCTTTCAGGTATATAAGTAAATTAGTTTTAGTAAATAATAGATTTGAATTTATAAGCATATTTCATAGAAGACTCATCGGATTGTAGGATGCCAATAATATGTACATACATACTTAGATTTACATACGCTTGTTTTTATTAGGTCATAGCGAATTAAATACTTAGAAATATGTATGTTTAGTTCAAAACAATATCGTTTCGCTCCATACAGTCTAAAAGTTTTTCATTCATAAATCTTTAAACATTATACTATATATATATATATATAGGTTAGTTAATGTGACAGAGGCACTTTTTGTGTATGTATGTAGTATAATGCCGTGAAACTTAGACTAAGCATATTATTAGGGTCCAGAGTTTACTTTAAAAAATGGAAATATGGAACACACGCTTCCAATATTTCGTTTGCTTTTATTTTTGTCCTATAGAAATAATGTCTAGTAATGTGTAGTAGGTACTCTAATCAATGATTTGTGATGTGCATGAATTATAAACTCATCGACTAGGCGTTAAATTTTATTTTAGTTGAATGCTATAAAGTCATTGAATTATATGCATCAGAAGGAATAGTTTAAATATTTTTTTTGGGCCACCAAAAGTATAGAGACTGTATAGAGATTTTCGAATTTTTTATGAGCGTATATCAAATTGTTTTAATTAATTTAAGGATATATTTATAATATATGATATATGTATACATTATTCGATTACGAAATAACTGATCACTATTGGTTGAAGGATACAAAAGTCGAGCTTGCAAGTTTCGTGATTCGATTGCGGAATTATAGACTTGTAAACAAAATACGCAGCATTTGTCTTTAGAACCAAAACGATAAACACTTTAGTACTATTAATTATTACAATGTCTGTTAAAACTTTCTTGCTGTGTAGTTTGTAATATATTTTTATGAAACCAGTCACGACACGTGTTTTGAATGGAAATTTAGAAATTTTGGCAGGCTCAGAGGTCAAACAACTGCTTCGTAAATTGGATAGAAAGGTTAGAAAATAGGGATAAGGTTGGCAGATTGTGACTTGAACGATTAAGATAAATGATGCTTATGTCCGGACAGAACTTTTAAGGTCAAAGTAATGTTATGTAGAACGAATTTCGAATAGATTTTATTGCTTGAAACCATAAATCATAAGCAAAAATATATATATTTTTGAATTTATATAAAAAAAAATTAAATAACAAAACTTGTTTTAAATAAATTTCAAAGTTTGTTAAAGATTTGTTAAAGAAAATTTTTTTCGTCTGCATATGTTTATACTTTTAAAAACTATTGAATTAAATTAATTATATAGTTATATAGTATAAAAATAATAATTCTATATTAAATATTGTGTTCGTATAAGCATATTTTTCAAATAATCTTAAATTAAATCATTTTGTTTAACGAAATTCTGGATAACTGATTTACAATAAATATTTTACTGAGTCCCAAACAATTCCAATATGTCAATAAGTTTATCATTTCTACCAAGTCAGTGCATTGTTTACATTTAGCGATAAATCTTGTAACTATGTCCTTATACAATTTCAATACTCGGTAAGATCAACAATTGCAGAAACAAAGTGAATGAGAATATATTACATTTACAATATATCTGGTTTAACGTTCCTTCGGTATAAATTCATAGTAGCTAACAAAACAATTCTTGAGCTCCTTATTTTCCCGTATATTTACAATCGTTTGATAGTCACCATACAGTTGGGGAACATTAAATTTCTCATTGTTCAATATAAAACTATTCACGCTGTAGATACCCTGCAAAATAAACATGTTGTATTCTGAGACAGAGTATTTTATGGTTGCGTAGGTACGTACCTAAAGAACCCTCTCCGAGTACCCCGTCTCTTATATTTAATTGGTGTGATTATATATTTTTTTTATATGAAAATTAAAATGACTCGAAACTAAGTGCCAATTCGAATTGATATGACTACTGTAACAATCTATAACATCAAACCTACAGCAGGTACAGGGCATTCTTCCACTCCAATTGCCTTTAAAAAATCGTCCATAATATTCCCGACAAGTGTGTAGAATGTTTCACATAAAGGACCCTTGTAATTGAACGAACCTTGCTTGAAGCCACCCTCCTTTCTTAGTGATCCTTTAAATTCCACCTGTTTTATATAGTTAAGCATTTAAAATGTTC